CATGGAACAACCGCCCCCCCCCCCCTAGATGCATGAGACTGTCATTGACATAGCTCCATCGATCGGTCCACAACCGAGAGGGAACCACGGCCGAGAAAGGCGGCTTGGGGAAGATGACGGTCTCGTCGAGAGGTAGCCGGCTGGCCGCCGGGTTGTACACCCTCTTGGTCGTGGAGTAATGGAGCTATTATTAATAGTTACTATTGTGAAAGACGCACTCCGCGCGCGACACATGTTGAGGAGGGAACATCGGTGTCACGCGACACACAAGCATAAGGCACACTTTCGGTAGTCTTCCCTCTTGCCGCCGCCCCTGTCTCAAGCCGGGCATCCAAAACACCAGCAGCTGCGAAGGACTATAGGAGGGGTGCGATACCTCGCGCAATTACCGCTGAGATGATGTTGGACAATGCAGGACTACAGGGGTGGTTTTTCTTTCTCCTCGTACGGCCGAAACCAGACATACGTTCATGCCAACCTCCCTCTGAGTTGGCATCCCGCTCTCAGACCCATGTTGAAAGGGATTCATGCGTGGTGAAAGGGACAACTGGAAAGAGTTGTATGCAAAGGGGTATACGACCCCCGTCAATATTGATCGCACCCCCGCATGTCCCTCCTCTTCCCACGATGTACACGCGCAGGTACTTCATCGACCACACCATCCGCGCGGAGCAGGACGACTACGAGGCGGAAGGCGTGGAGTGGGAGCACGTCGACTACTTCAACAACAAGGTAAATGGCATACGTGTATTAATTTGAACGTGGATGCAGCGATTCGTACAGCAGCATGTCCCCATGGACCAGCACTAAGCTAAGGCTAGGGAAGTTCGGAGTTAGCTATATATATGATCGTCTCTGCCAAGAGGTGTCACGTTGGCGCAGCAACGTTCTTTTCCATCAACACGTGGTGGTACGGGCCGCTACGAGATGCCTTGGGGATGGATGTGGCACGCAAGCGTTGTAAGGGACCATACACTCGGAGGGTTGATGGTAGGTGGTATGGTAGATGGTGCAACTCATGGTCTGAACAAGGAAGCGCCTGTCTTGAGTCGCTGATCAGGTTTATGACAGGAGTTGTTGGTGTCTGCTACTGTGTTTTCTCTCCCGCCCTGTTCTCGAAGTTGTCCAGGCAAACAAAGCGAAAACCTTGCCAAACGTGAAACTCGCTTTTTTTTTTACTCAAGCAGGTGGTGGAGATAGCCCTCGTTGTCTTGCGCGTGTGGTCGTGCTCGGCAGAATGCTACAAAACACTCACCCGTACCACTATCCTCAGGCTAGTAAATGAGCACCCTAGACTTGTCTGTGTGTCTGATTGATCACATTGCATTTCGTTACCTTTTCTTTTGCGTTGCGTTGCGTTGCATTAGACGGTGTGCGACATGATCGAGGGTCGTCATGGGCTGCTATCCCTGCTAGACGAGGTGTCTTCCTACAAGGACAACGACGGGAAGGTGCTCGTGAACCGCTACAACCGGGTGATGGCGAATCACGACCACTACTTCCCCGGAGAAGAGGCGGTGTATGGAACCGGCTACGGACGTGAGTATGAGCATCCTCGCCCCCTCCTCCCGCGCGCGCTCCTCCCTCGCCCCGATCGTTTGAATACGGTACGGTCAACTTTCTTATCGGTAGTTGTCTACAGCAGCAGTGTGCATACATCGCAATAGAATAAATACCACGGGTACAGGATCGTGGGTGTAGGACTTTTTTTCGTCAAGTCCGCGAGGGGCGGAAAAAGAAACACGAGGAACCCGGCTAAAAATCGTAGCTCATTTTTGTGTGTGTGTGTGTGTTTGTTTTCCTGCCCTTTCGAAGTCAGAGAAGAGAAAGCACGGCATCGCCCTCGACGACAATGGCACCGCCAATCGTTGTACAAACAGCAACAACAGTCTGGTGTCTCCAGGAACACTCTTTCATCTTGTACTGTTTGGCGTGCGGTGTCCCAAAAATCTGAAGAATCTTCTCCTTGGTTCTGTCTCGTTTTGCTCTTACCCTCCATGACAGGGAGGAGGAGCAGCGCTTCCGTTAATGGCTTCAGCAACGGCAACAACGGCAGCGGCAGTGGCAAGGCCTCGCTGACGGCGACATCATCGGGCAGGGCCGGGGCGGGTGCAGATGCGGTGTATTCCCGCGTTACGGTCGCCCGAGGAGACAAGCATTTCTTGGACGCGAAGCAGATGTTCGGGATCAGGCACTTCGCCGGCAACGTGAGCATCTTTCCGAAGCGTTTTGGTGGTGTTCGAAATATAGTTGACAGCATGGTACCGTCCGCCGTCCCCCCCTCACGCCACTTACACTCGCGTTCCAAAAACTACTGCCCCCCCCTCTCATGCTGATTTTTTTCTGCAAAGTTGGGGTTTCCGAATATACAGGGGTTTTCCGAAGCTTTAGCCTTTTTCGCATCACAGCGCAGTATTGTTGGCATCCACGGAGACCTCGTCAAGCTCAACCTTGTACAGGCCTATTCGTCCCCGCACACAAAACAAGTAAATGCCAAGTAACGCTGTCGCTTAGCGCGCAAGAATACTTTGTGTGTTTCACATGCTGTTTTTACCGCCGCATTTTGTACATTTTGGGGGCAGAGAGTGCTGCACTCATCTCGCGTTTACGATCGAAGGCAAGCACGGCAGGAGGGAGGGTTGGGGTGGAGGGAGAGGAACCCTGCTGTGTGACTGACCACGGTTTGGAGATAGCTCCTACATACCCCGCAGAAATGCTCTGGGCTCTGATGTAACAATGATGAAAGAAGAAAGTATTTCGCCGTCATCCTTGATGTTGGGTTGTAAATACCCCTGAGTTTTGCTGACAAGGCTAAAAAATACCTGTGTGTACCTCCAAAAACCACGAAATCGTGACAAAACCTTTGGGGGAATAGGTGACGTACGCAGCGGACAGGTTCATCGAGAAGAACGCGGACCGCCTCCACGACGACGTGAAGAGCCTCCTGGCAAAGTCCACCAACCCACTCGCCGCCGAGCTGTTCAGGGAAGGAGCGAGATCGACAGGGCCTCACAACAAGGCTCGACGGCACCCGTCCCTCAGCGCGCAGTTCAAGAAGCAGGTGTGGGATGAATTGAGAGATGGTCGATGACGAGGGAGAGAGAGATAGGCGATGGCGATCATCCCGCACGCTGTAGGTTCTTTGTCTTTCTCCCAAGCAAACATATTACAGCATGGGGTTTTGCCTGTATGTCTGACCATGGGGGGGGGCAGAGATTCGGTTTTTCGGAACGCTGGTGTTCGATGGTGGTGTGGGCGTATGGGAAAGCGTCGCAAAGATTTGGCTGTAATCCCACGATTGATTGTTGAGGAAGGCTGTGGTCGAAGGCCTGAGGTGGACCGTCCCCTCTCCGCCTTGCCTTGCCCCCAGTATATAAGGTACACGCCTGTCGGGTGGTGTTGTCGTCTTAACGCTAGAAATTGCTCTGGCCTTTGGGGGACCGGAGCTTAAGATAAGACATACTTCGTAAGATAGAAGGATTTCCACGATGATGATGATGATGATGATGATGATGATGGATAATCTTTGTCTTGTCAGGTGGACGCGCTGTGCGGATCGCTGGCACGCTGCCGGCCGCACTACGTGAGGTGCATCAAGCCCAACAGCACCAAGACCCCTCTCAAGGTCGACGAGACCATGCTCACGCACCAGGTACGCACAGTCGTCCCTCGGTTGAGGACACCATTTGTAGGAAATCTCCCCCCGACTAAGGACGCCTTTTTGTTTCACAGGCATGGTGTCCCGCAGAATGTACGACGTAAGGGGGGTATCAATCTTAATTTAGGCTTAAGGACACGTGTGTCAAGGAAAAACCATGCGGGTCCTTAACTGAGGGACGACTCTATGTGAACAATCCTGATCGATTACAAAGAGCGGAGATGGAAAGATGTGTCGATTACAAAGAGCGGAGATGGAAAGATGTGCCATCTTTCCCAGCGCTGCATCACGGCACTATTTTTAGGGGAGTCAGGGACAACCTCACAAAAATGTAAAATTTTCCACGACACCCTTTTATCTGAGGAGAAGGACTGACGCGAGAATACTCATGAATTAACAAAGAGCGGAGATGGGAGAAGGTGGCATGTTTCCCAGCTCTGTCACGCTTAATCGCGACACAATTTTAGTTAGGTACGTCAGAGACAACCTTCTCCGCAACGATACTTTGCCGCACCGCCATGAATGCATGTGCATGTCATGTCTCCAGGTGACTTACCTCGGACTGCGGGAGAACGTGAGGGTACGGAGGCAAGGCTACGCGTACCGCATGCCTTTCGAACACTTCGTCCGCAGGTGAGTAATGCTGAATTTACATTTACACAAGGTTTGCTTCGCGGCTTAGGGGGGGCAGTTCAGGCTACGTTGGTTTCGACGTCGTTTTTGTTCGTATCCCGTCTGTTCGGTAAGGCACTCAGCACCAATCGTTTTTGTGTTTGATCTCCCACTGTAGCCGGGGTGACATTGGAAGAAAATTCCACGTTTCGTTTCCTCCGGCAGCGCCTGTCGTCATAATGGCTCTTTTGTGTGTGTGTGTGTGTGTTTTCGGGTACCTGCGAATGTCTTCGTCGCCCCATTGAGGAGGTCCAACTAGGTTACATTACTCACGGTGTTCACCATGGACAATCATTAAACGTTATCATGAGCTATCACCATTAGGGATACGCAATCACGACAAATGCGATCACTTAATCATTGTATGCGATGGCAGTAAAAATAACGCCATCACAACTAATTAATGATACCTGCGACGGGTGCAGATACGGATTCTTGTCTGAGTCGACCTGGCCCGACCGAGTAAAGAAGAAGTTCTGGCCGGACGGAACCCCCTTCGACCCTGCACACCCTCAAACGCCGCAACACCTCATCAAGTACGACGAGGTAAGCTATGTTGCTTGGGCTTCGCATCGCATGTGTCTAGGTTTCGTCAAGTATGACTAGGTAAGCTATGTTGCGTGAGCGTGTGGCATCGCATGTGTGTTTGAAGTATGATGAGGTAGGGTAAGCTACGTGAGCGTCGCATCGCGCGTATCGACGTTTCGTCAAGTACGACGAGGTAAGCTATGTCACGCGAGCATCGCATCGCACGTATCTACGTTTCGTCAAGTACGGCGAGGTAGGGTATGTGACGTGGGCATGACGTCGCACGTGCGATGGATATTTTTCCTTCGGGAGGGATGTTTGTGGAGTAGAAGCGATCCTGCCTATTGTATACTTGTAGTTGTTTGGAATGGGTGTCTTGTGTGTTGTACGCGGCGTGTGCACACGCGACGGGGCGTCCTCGCGGTTGACTCCTTTGACTCCTCATCGTGTGTAAGGTCGATCCGGTGCTCTGTAGCCGCGCATGGGCACGGCAGCAGCAATCAGACTAAAGGGGTTTCCCTTCTTTCGGCTCGGGCTTTTCCGTGCACGGACGACGGCAGCATGGAGCAACGGATAAAAAACAGCACGAAAGATAACACGCCCCCCCCCCCCGGGTCTTGTTATCGAGCGTCACGCCTCGTTCCGCGTACGATTTGCAATTATGCGTGTGTATGACATGATGTCCAGGTTGAGGAAGAGTTCCAAGAGCTGCGTGAGGTGGAGCCCGACTCTGACGGTAGCAAGGATAAGGACAAGGAGAGCGGCACGACAGACAGCAGCGATGACGGGGTCACCGATAAGGAGGCCCCTACCCCCCCCGTGCAGAGAACGCCCCCCAGGTACATAGATGTCTACACCTTTCTTTTTGTTTTGTTGCAAATGCACGCACGAGTTTTGGTTCATGGTGCACTTGAATGCGGTAGGTAAGCTTGGTGTTGTCGACCTTGTTGTATGGTATATAGAATGTATGTATCACTCTGTAGAATCTGTGCGTGCTTTGAATCAGTACTTGCCCGTTCATTTTTTACATGTTCTGATGCAACGTACCGGCGATAATATCCCTGTGCTGCTGGCAACTTTTCTTGCAACGTTGTTGTACATCACGCCTATCCCCACCGCCACACCCCCCTCCCTTCTTCCCTTGCCTTCCTGTCCCTTCGGTTCAAGCAGGGCAAAGCCTCCGTCTGTCGCGAGGGCGACGCCTGCCAGGATCCTGCAAAACTTCACGCCGGCAAGGTTGCGAGGGAAGGCAGCAGCAACACCCTTGTCCACCGCACGGACGTCGGCAATGGCCGCCGAGGTAAGCAGACCTGCCGTTGGTTGTTGTTGTTGGTGGTGGTGTTGCTGGTGGCGGTGGTTGTTTTGTTTGGCATGTCGGATGTCGTTGTTGACCAAGCTGTCGATTGCTGTTGCTGTCGTTATTTCCTTTCTCCAAACCAGGTCCAAGGGGGGGGAGTTGTCATGACTGTGGACGTATCCTCTTACCCGTATTTATGTGAAGTTACGGTTGGAAAACAACCACTCACACAATAGGTAGCCGTGTTTTCTCTTGCGTGTCAACACTTTGGTGCTACCTACCGCAAGGAGTCATCTTGGGGGAGACACTTTTTTGCTTGGTCAGCTCTCTCTTTCAGCACTTGGGGCTAAATAGCACGGATGCCAGTAACTTTTTTGTTTTGGAAATCCTGATACAACTCGAGTCATCGTTTGTGAACAGGCATAGGTCACTGCCACAGCAGTGTTGAACTGTGAAAAACTTGATGCTGCATCAGAATATGCATCCAGGGGTTACTCCGATGTTTGTCTTTGTAGTGCGGCAGCGGGTGACAGTATTGTACCCCGATCTGCAGAACCTTGAGAAACCGGTGAAGGGTCGGGGTTGGATTGCGTTGGCACATGATTTTCCGGTCGTTTTATGAGGTATTTCAGAACTTTGTCCACGCTACCACCAAAGGCCAACCGAATCACCCATTCGGTAGTGTAGTATACTCCAGCAGAAGTATTAGCATGCTTGTTGTATTCTAACTATCTTGCCTAGGCTGACTCCCTAGCACCCATTTTTTTATACCGCAAGTATCTTGCAAACGTCGTTTTTCTCTTGCGGCCGCTGCGTGCGTTTTTTCAGCGTGATGGTGACGGTGATGGTGATGGTGATGGTGCACCGAAGCGAATGGCGATGGTGACGTCCACCAGGATTAGAAAGGTGCCAAGGCGGGTGGACCCCGTCGACCGTTGGACGTGGGCACGGCGGGAGCTATCCGCACGGCAGGTGCGAGAAATCACGACCAACAGTATTGTACGACGGTAGGCATGACCGGCTGACCCGTGCCATCCATACCCGCTGTTTTTTGCGAATGTACAAGGACAATTCGGATGCGATGTTGAATGCCCCAATGGTCGCTATATTTTCCGAGCAGAGTTGTGACATTAGTAGTCTCGGCGGGACTATCGCCCCAAGAGATGCTGAAACGCTTCTTGCTTGCCCGAAAGGGTGTGCGTGCGTTGCCTTGTTAACGCATGGACTGTCTGCTCTAATGGGATGTCCGAAGATAGCGGTGCATGCGGCAGAAAGAAAAAACTCACCGTGATTCAGCTACTCCATTCTTGTTTTCGACGTGACACGCGTTTGTGCGCACGTACGGCGGCGGTGATGTCTCGATGTATAAAACAGGCTACCTTTGCCCTGTTGGAGGAGGGCCGTCCGAAGCGGTGGGAGTCGCACCGCACCGGGGGAAAACCCGTCACGCTCAACGTCCCGAGGCTGTGCGCCGATTCGGGAGACATCAAGGTATAGGATAGACAGACAGACACTGTGTTGCTGGTTTCGTCGGAGGTTGTTGCATGCTGTCGTCTTGCCACTGGTGTGTTTAGTGTTTAGTTGGTGGTTGTTGGTGATTGATCCTTATTTTTTTAGTCCACTTGACCAAACACACGACCTCAACGCAAAACTTCTTTACACTCCACACCAATCGTGAACACTGAAGAGTGATTGGAGTGTGAGGGAGGGAGTTGGCTTCAAAGGAAAAATGCGGCACTTATTGACAGCTGTCAGTTCGTGTGCGTACGGGTGGAGTTGAGGTTACTGGAAGCAAACGAGCACCCCGGTATTTCCCCTTCCTGTACAATATTCCTCCCGTTGGCGGCTTGTAAGGGTTGCCCCCCCCCCCCCCGCCCATATGTCGTACAAGGCGCGCATTGCTGTCTGTGGGAGGGAGTGAACCCACCAGTAAACAGATAGTGTTCTGAAGCTTTTTGAAGCTGTTGCCCGTTCGCAGGGACGTAGGCACGAGATAGATGCCGAACACCCGCGGTAAGATGCTCCTCACCGTTGATGATGATGCGAACTCTCTCCGAACAACACACGGCGCGGTCCCGCTTGGTGCTGCCCCAAGCCTGTTCCCGTAGACAGCAGGCGTGCTCCCTCCCTACCTCTCGCCTTGGTGCTGTCCAAGCTTGTCCCTGCAAACAACTGCTCCCTCCCTACAGTACTACAGTACCTCTCGCCAGGCGAGGCCTACCGTCCGACAACTATGATATGTACCTACTCGTCTTGCCACCCCGTCTCACAGATGGGGAAGACCAAGATCTTCATCAAGCAGCCGCACACGCTCTTTGACCTGGAGGACCAGCGACAGCCCGCGCTGTTCGCCGTGGCGGTGATCATCCAGTCCAAGGCAAGGGGTTTCGTGCGTCGGTCGCGTTACATCAGGTTTCAGGCGGTCATCGGGAGGGTGGCGGCGGTGGCGAGAGGATTCCTGGCTCGACAGCGGTACTACCGGATACTCGGAGGGTAAGCGGAGATATCGTAGATAGCATATCGTAGGTAGCATATGGTAGATAGCAAGGAACTCCTGCTCCTAACCACCTGCGACAACAATTTAGGGGGGGCTAGAACAAGCTCATGCAGAACCTTCGATAGCAACGTAGGCCAGAAAAAGCGTGCCCAGCGTACCCACACGTGAGCCCGCACATGAACCACCTTCGACAAGACAGCAGCAGGCAATGTAGGGTGTTATAGAACACGATAAAGGGCTCCGTGGTACAGCAGAGGTTGGTTTAACGTTTGGGACCGTCTGACGGGTGGCTATCGCCCTCTTGTCATCGCGCTGCGTTGTTTCTCCGTGTTGCCATGGCGCACGTGCTGATCATTGTTGCCATGGCGCTGTCGGTTGCTGCCTTTCTCTATCTCGTTTTTTTTTTTCTCGTTCCAGCATCGAACGTGCTCAGGCCGTGTTCAAGGGAAACAAGCAGAGGGTCAGCTACAAGCGTCTGAAAATCGCTGCGAAAGGACGCCCCCTTCGATACTACGCCCTCCGAATACAGGTAAGGCAACGAGTACGGTACGGTACGGTACGGTACGGTACGGTACGGTAGAGTCAACCCGGCATAGGCACTGGCCTTGCTCTTAAGACGTCTGGAAGATGTCATTCTCTCTTTGCCCAGTCTTAGTGCTAGCCTTACTGCTGTTGGTCTCAAAGATCTTGCACTTCGTTTCGGTTTAGTTTTTTCTAGAAATGACTGTTGTCCCTGCTGTCTGGATGTCGCTAGGTTTCTTAGAGACGGGGCAAGGCTGAAAGTTCACCACTGGATTTTTTTCGTTGTAAGGTACTTGCTTGTATTCTAGTCCCCCTTTTTGATGCAGTACTTGTATGTGATAGGCAATAGGCATGTCTATGCTGTCGTCTCGTTTTTAAGACCAAGTCGATATGACCAAGTCGTCACGACTAAGTCGGCAGGTTGGTTTTGCAGCAACATCAATCCACTTTAGTGGCGGGGGTGCGTCCCCGAGCTCATCGCGCAGCCTTCACCTTAGCAACAATCGAACACGCCCCTTGTCCCTCCACTGCTATGTGGACCTCCATCTGCTGTCCAACCGCAACCGTACAGAGGAACTACAGAGGGTACAAGGGCCGCAGCATGGTGCCCCGGCGGACGCTCAAGAGATCGAAGGCGCTCGGCGCGAAGATGCTCGCAGCGTCGCGTGGCTACCGGGCGGCAGTCGTGATCCAGGTGAGCATCACACACGTACGATTGTTGATGTTGGTTATTTTAGTCGTGCTGTAGGATAGTGATACAACAGGCACAACAAACCGAGATGTTTGTCCCTGACACGGGCCAGTGCTATAGCGCTACGCGCCATTTGTCACCACATGAACATGCCATGTAAAATGTGTAGTTGTAACAAGAGGCGCGGCCGTAGTTCACGGTCTACTGATGAACCATCGAGGGCGTAGGCATCCCCTTCTTCATCCTTGACCTTACGCGCCTGTGTCTGTCTGTCTGTTTGTGTGTCGCTTGCGTGGGAGCAGACGGCCTGGCGTAAGCACGCGGCCCGGAAGGCCTTCATGGTCCGCAGGAAGCAGACGGCGGTGGTTCAGTCGTGCTACCGGCGACGGGTCGCTCGCCAGCAGTTCGAGAAGGTACGGGGGAGGCTATTGTAGCGAGGCCCTGCAGTGACGGCGATCTGTCTCCTCCGCTGTCGACACTTCTCTCGCCTTGTGGCGACTGCCTGGCTGCGTGTCGTGTCCTGTCGTGTCGTGCGGTTTCTATCGTCTTCTTTTTCTTTGGAGTGTTGCGTGCTGTGCCGTCCGGTTTCTCTTGTCGTTGGGTTATCGGGTTAACAGTGCTGATGTATCAATCAACTAATCGATTAACGGATTAATGGCAACACGCAGATAACATTTCTTCGCGATAGTAGCTGACGGTTCCATGTGTGTCTTGCTCCCATACACCACACGTTGCGATCGAGCGAGAGCCAGACTTTCCCCCTTGGTTGGACCACACCTATAAGGTTTCGGCAGGCCATTACTATTACTCTGCACAACCCAAACACTTGTTTTTGGACTGTCGTTGCCGTCGTTCATCGTTGACGCTGCCGCTGTTGACGTTGTTACTGTTCTTGCTCCTTGACCGGCGCAGCTGCTTCTGGAGGACTACAAGGTCACGATAAGGGAGCTCAGGGGCGGCATGACGATGGTGAAACACACCGTCGGAACGTCTTTCCGAAGGAAAACGGTGAGGGACTAGACAGTAGTCCAAAACGAGACAGACAGACAGACAGATAGACAAACAGACAGACAGAAGACAAACAGACAGGCGTCGGAGAACAAGCTCCATCCTACACCTCTCATTTCCTCTCTCTTGTATGCTACTTCATCTCGGGGGGGGGGGGGGGCTTGGGTTGCTGTTTCCAAAATTAAAAATGGCGATACTGAGTACACCGATTAAATAGAACCGTTAGGACCAGTTGGTTTGGACAGGTTTACTTGAGATACCAGGAAATAGGGCTAATGAGCAGCACTGGGACACGAAGTATCAGCCCTCCACCATGATGATTCCGAACCAGTTGATCTTGCGGACATAGGCGAATGGACCCGTCTTACGTTCCTTTCCTGATGCGGCATCCCCATGTTTCCCTCTGTTCGTTGCACGTGCGTGCTCGCTTGCGCTGTTGTGTGCGAAAAATACGTGTGGCCTTGTAGAAACGGCCGATCGAGTTCACCTGCTCAAACCGAGGCGTCTTGTCGTGGGATGGGTTGGGGATGATGCGCAAGGAGCAGAGCGTGAACATCGCCTCCGACGTTCTGAAGGTATGCATACGTCCTGTACTGCTGTACCACTCTTGTACCTGTGTGGTGTTGTACAGATAGGGCGCGAAGATGGCGGGGTGTGGGTGGACCCAAGCTCGATGTCACAAAAGGTGCAAAGGGGTTAGTTATCCTGGATGTAGAGGTTTGTAAGCACCGCGCGTCGTTCTCAGGGCACATCGCAGCCGACTGGCAAGCGATGACCACATCCTTGTGTGCAACATGTTGATTGTGCTCCTCCCCCTCCGCCTTCCCCCCCAGATCACTAAAGGAATCACGAGCAGGACACTCAGGCGCACCGGAGAGGCTGCCAAGGGAGATGGCGTCGCCACCCGAACGAGGTATGTTACTGTTACTGTTTTTGTTTTTGTTTTTCTGGCTTAGCATAACAAGCAAGTCCATCTCTATAGTCTAGTCTAGTCTCGTCTCGTGAAGCGTTGTGTTGAAGTAAGATATGGTATTATAGCGTCGAAAGTTGGATTGGGAAGACCACGCGGGTTTTGTCAGGACCTGGAATTTGGAAGAGCATGTTGTTTCTCGGCGACTCGCTTGTACCTTGAACCTTGTACCTTGTACCGCAGACATAACAAAGGTGCACAAGCAGCGACAAAATGACCATGGGCCAACGACCACGTCGTACCCCTTCTGGTCCCACACCGCTACATTGATAAATAGATAGATTGCACTTAAACACTGCAATCTGGACAGTGAGACGCAAACCGTGAGTGAGACGGGCGGCAGGGGACGAACCGGCAATCATGTCCGGGATATGCGTAAATGGAAACCCTCGTCATTAAGACTCAAGGCCAAACAAGATGGTACAATCGCGTATCCGAGATGAGACAACGAGCGCTGGTTGCTGCGCGTGAATAGCTTGTACCCGTTCTTTGGCCAAGAGGAGGCCATTAACGACAGAAGCAACCACATACATTGTGTCCTATATAATGAAGCGAAAAGCTGTTTGTTAATGCCACAACGCCAGTGGTAGTGTTTACCTGTGCCCCTACCCCCCCCCCCATCCCCCATCCCTACACCACTGTGCCCCCTTAGCGTTCATCTGTTCCCCTACCCCCCTACCCCGTCCCTACACCATTGTTGCTCCCCTCCCTTGGCCAAAGGCCGGGGCAAGTAAACGGCAGCGGCAATTACTTGGTCCTCCATCAGAGGTCCGGCAAGACCCTAGACCTTGAGTGCGAAAGCTACACTCACCGGGACAGCGTCAAGCGCGCGCTGTCGAAGATCAAAGGGGAGTGGTGACCGACGGGCACGCGATTGTTCAAGTATTGGGCCGGCCAGCCCTTGTAGTCCGGTGTCCTGCCGTTTGAGTCAGGTAACTACACGGCTTCCATGATCTCTTTTGTGTGTGTGTGTTTGTGTGTGTTTTATTATTGGTGATAAGCGTTTTGCCTGCTTGTGGGATAGTGTCGGTCGTTCCGCCGGCCGTAAACTACTCGATGATGTGTCATGTAGGCAGATGTGGGGTATTACAGTACGGTAGGGGCATCGATCTGGGCCTCTGTAGAAAATGTAGCAGTCCTTGTTTAGTTTTTTAATCCAAGAAAGGAAAGTTTTTTTTTGTGGTACAGCAGTATGTCGATGCGCGGAAAGTGGAGGAGAAGCGATAGCGCCGCTACAATATCTCACGAAAGGTACATGTAAGCGTGTTTGACGACGGAACGGGACCACGCGAGGAGAGATTGAAGAGCTTTCGCGGCCAGAGCCTACTTGATTTTCGTACCACATGCTGGGGGTTGAGCTTTGCCGTTTCGGTTTTGTCAAGTCTAGTCTAGTCTAATTTTGGCGGGTGTGTGTGATGGCAGCAAGAGGGGGAACCTGGGTGTGTATATCGGATTGCATCCCCTAGTAGCCCCTCCCGCCTCCTCCCACCATTTCGTCGTGAACGTGTCTACTTGTAGGCGCTACCACACGTTTAAAGGTGTTGCAATGCAAGCGGCAGCAGTTGGCTGCTCTCATCGGAACGGTGCGTGGCCTGCATGAATCAACTGCGCCCGTTCCTGTGGGTACTTTCGATTTTTTTTTTTGTGTGCGGGGGTATCAGCGACGAACATCGCCGGGAAGGTGCATGAACATGCTAGGCTCTTGAGCTGGTAAACAAACACCGTTTTTTTGGAAAGAAAGGTGCGTTGGTCATTTCTTCTTCTTGTGCGTGCAAGCATCTTGCGGAGGCCGAACGCAAATGCAAGGCGCTTTAGCTACGACAACCAACCTTTTTTTGGAAAGGTGTATTTTGAATCAATGAAAGCTTATGCCTCTTTCTTGGGGGGGGGAGGGAAGAAACAGGAGCAGAGGCGTGATCGCCTTGGAGAGGTGGCGTGGATGTGCTTCCCCACATTGCCCATGGTTAAGCGTGCAGATCGCGACTAGCACGTATGTAGATGGTAACGGCACACGGACGGTACACAGATCGCTGTACCCTGTTGGTGGCAGTCAGTCGTGTTTGTTCGGGCGCAGACAGCGGTGGCAGGTCGGTGTTGCGAGTTGCCACAGGTATCCATCCATCACGCAATCACCGTTTTTTGTGTATTAGTTGCGGTCGACGTTGCCTCCACGAGGTCTGTTCGGCGCCATCAAACGCGAAGTTTGTTGTGGTATTTGGAGGGGGGCACACGGCTTGGAGTGACCACTCGTATTGGTATGTGTCGGCACCACCGGGCCACCACGATTATATCGCCTTGATTTCGGTCCAAGTCGGAAGACTTGTATTGATATGCAGTATACGATATACCCTATGTAATTTATCTGTTTTCTGTCTACATGGCGTTCTTGCTGTTTTTGTTCTTTTTGGTATTTCTATTTCTCTGAGTGTATAATAGCTTTGGCCGCTTGGCGACTTGAGCGTTCTTTTTCAGATGCTCGGGCGTCGTCACGAAAATATTAAACTATTCTCTCAAAAAGAAAAATCTAGCTAACTAAGCGGAGTGTGCGGCCGTTCTCCCCGCTGGCCCGGTTGTTTGTGGCATATTTGTGACATGGTGTTTGCTTTCTGCATCACGGGAAGGAGGAGGGGGCGGAGGGAGGGAGGCAAGCAGGCAGCGGAGGGGGAAGTTTTGTCGAGGTGGCGTGGATACCACCAGCACTGCTGTGCGTGTAGACAGCAGCAGGCACGTGCAAGCCCGCGGCTAGGTACAGTACAGTAGAACCTGGAGGTGTGTCCTGTCGTGTCAGACTGAACAGGCTACCCACTAACGCTTTGGGAGCCACAATAAGTTTGACTCGAGTTTGTGCATGCTTGCCTGTGGTACAGTATACGGATGCCCATCCTTGTGTTGAAGTGGGTTGCTGACTTTGCCGCGAAATTACCCAACGCAACCAACGACGACACGATTGATTCCGTCATTTGGGTCGACTAGCTAGCTCGCTCATCTCCTACGAATAAGTAGTTCTCATACATGATTTTTTGTGGTATCCGGTAGGTTAGGTATCCTTTTTCGGGTTCCACGCTAGTGGCGATGGCAATGCTTGCCGACGTCCAACGTTTGTGAAGGTCTTCAGTAGCCGCCCGCACTTGAGGTTGTGGCCTAGGTTCTAAGTGCCTATATAGGGTTGTGCTGTCGACGGCTGCTATATAGTAAGAAGCAGCTTTCAGTTTAGGGGTTCTTAGCCGGCCTCACTCACGTTCTTGTGCTAGATTTTGGAGTTTTTCGACGTGCTGCGGGCGCGAGCTTAAGGTCTAGACTACAAATGAGATGATAAATTAAGGTGTTGTCCCCCGTGGCCTGTGGTTCCGTTACCCCTGCTTGTCGTCGTTCAACAAGAGTTAAGGTGGCGCGGTGTCAGCCTTATAATTAACTTCGCGTTCACCCCGATCTTTCCGAGGCACACCAAAGCGAATTACCACACGCTAGTTGAGACCGGTAACGTTTTTTTTTGTGAAGACAACAACTGGCAACCATAACCCGATTTGGTTTTCGCCTGTTGTTCGGACGTAAGTTCGAATCCATCCCCCGACGGAGCCGCAAGAACTGGATTTTTTTTTTTGTCCGAATTTCGTAAATCGTGCCCACCAAGTGGACGAACGGCCAAACGCTTGGACACCTTGGTTACCGGTGGTTGTTGCCATCCCATCTTGTTCTCTCGACGTCAGCCAAGCCTTCGATTTGTGTGTATGCATAGGAAATACCATCAGTCCGGGTCACACCGATTTTGCGTACTCCCCTCCACCCTCTTCCTTCTGCTGCGCTTGCCATAAGGAAATATTTACGAAACACCGATGAGCAAGAAGGATCCAGTCGTTCGTTCCTCGCGGCGTTTCAGCCACCCCGACTATTATAGAGCGTAAACAAAAAAAACGAAAGGGGTAGACTTGAGATCTTTTTTTTTTTGTTCGTCGCTTTCAATCAGCACTCACAGCTCACAGCATTCTGCCGGATAGGACCCACAATATCTCCAATCCGTGGCCACACACAAAGATTCCTATCCCTCCACCCCTCCTGCCGAGACTTCGGCTGACGCCCAAAATAGACGGGATGAAAACTAAGGCACCACACGCACACGAACTAATCGTTTTCATCAGCTACTAGATCGAGCCGAATCATCGTGTGCATGTCTCTCGTTGGTTCTATGGCTCCCCAATGGTCCTCATCTTTGTCTGCGCAGTTGGACACGCCTATGCATACAACAACGCATGGAGCCCAGCCACACCCTAAGCTAGTCGGCGCACTACACAATGCTGGTATGTATGGCAAAACATCTTGCGTCTTGCGCAATTGAACTTCACGGTGCCCCCCCCCCCGAGAAATAAAATAAAGTACAAAAGCTAACGAACCCTGAAAAGGGACGCACGTCACCAAAGCATAAAACAACACAAATGACGACAGCAACTTCACCGAACACAACGGCTTGCCTGCCAAATGAAGAGAGGAACGACACCCTCGCAGCTGCAAGTCTTGTTTGGTCGGTGCACGACAACACCCACCCATGACAGGATGTCCGCGAGTTACAGTACAAAACTACGTGCAAAACTTGTACATACACTCTCACACAGACGGCATAAAAGGGAAGAGGAATAAGCGTGCCACAAAAACGACGGTACATACCAAAAAATTGAGTGGGACGACGTACAAGTACACGTGCAAACAAGGGGGAACAACCAACCCGTTCACAACATACCAACCTCCACATCAACAGGTTCGGTGGACAACCCTAACCATCAAGCTCAAGAACAAAACAACCTACGTACGGTACTTCCTTGCCGACGTATTCTTTTGTACAGCGGGTGGGCGATGGTTTCGCTTTAATGAGGGCCTCGTGACGAGGACCGGGCAACAAAGCATCATCAACCGAGTCATGCACGGGCAATTGGTTCTCCCGCTCGCCCATAAACAAGCCACAGTAGTAGTAATATCGGCAACAACGATGTAGAATCAGACGCCTACACGTTGACGTAAAAGTACATGCCACGGATGGTGCGTTCTCACACAGAGACGACAAACTGCACCACCAGTCGCCCTGGCCCAAAAGTGTCCAGCTATAGTGAGAAGAACAAAAAAACGATGCATTTGTGCCATAATACTGCGCAAATATGTATAACAAGTCAATCTGCACGCCGTGGGCTCTCTCTCCGACAGCTACAAACATCGCTTGTTCTATTTTGGCACAGCATCAATCGAGCATGCTCACTAGCAGCCGTTTCGTGCCAGACCAACGATCGATCTGGAGCATGGTTCGTTTTTCGTGTTTTCAAGTTTCTGCCTCTGCTTGCTCAAGCAGCCATTTACATAGCTACTTCTTGAAGGTCGTGCTGCCTCCTGCTAGTCTTTCCGTGCCCCCAAAACAACCTCAACAAGCACTAACCCGCAAGCTTTGTTGTTTGACAGCAACCGACCAAACCGAAAGAACCTCACGTCGCCCTTCAAGAGGGGTACGCCGCCCCGCCCCGCTCGTGGGCAAGAGATCCTCGATGGCACCATGCCGCTGGCCTTCATTGCTGTTCCGAGATCTAGACGCTTAGAGAGACTTTGGTCTACGATATCTTAGCTCTCGCCAAAACTGTTCCTTCATCACCAGAACGCCAGCTCTAACCGTCCTGGGACAAGAGGGGCGAAGGACTGCTGCAACCGTGCTCGTGGCAGAACAGCTCCAGAGCCTTTCTCGCCGCATCCACCTTGGCGGTATTCCGCACGAAGACCTTGATTGAGAGACAGACAGGCAGGCACGGACAACGCACAGCACAGCAGCAGCTCAAGGGAGGAAGGGCAAAACACGCAGACTTCCATCAATGTGCCAAGCACAGCAGCGTTGTCGTACTGTATGCCAAGGCAGAGGACAATAACACCACCCAAGAAACCGGTTGTAGTCAACAAGGGTTAATTGTCACGAAACATGACAACTCGGACCCTGCCCCACACTAAAACCTGTGCAGATTATATTCCCGGTTGGGAAAATACGGAGCGACGGTTGCGCAGAGTGAGAGTTCCTTAACCATGGGGTGGTACGTGCAGTATCGCTCGCGCTAAACTTGTACACACTTATTCCCTGTTGGTTTCCAAACTGCTGAAAATACGGAGTGGCAGTTGCACAAAATCCTAACGCTGTATCGCTGCTCACCCTGATCTTCTTGGACTCGAAGACTCGTGGCAGAAAGCTGGCGTATTTCTCTTCGTCGAGGCGAACGCCTTGAGTGTCCGGCCCCATCGGCGCGTACTTGGAAAAAAATCTCAACTTGAGGAAAGACGCGCGGAACGGTACATACGTACGCGGGAGGCAGACGTGTCCTGTTGAACATGGTGCGGTGAAAATGCTCGTTGAGACAGTAGATATTCGGCAAGAAGATCGTCCGTAGGCGGGATCGAACAAAGCCCTCTGGAGTACCATACAAAATTGTTCCTGCCCAGCATGGCCGAGAAGGTAGATAGAGTCAACAAAGAAGGCCATGCCTCAGGCCAGTCGGAAGCATCCACGCGTGTTAACACAGCAGTCTTGAGTTTACCAATTGATGAGTCCGCAAAGTATGCTGGACGGAGTACAGGCACGCACAGTGGAAGAAGAGGCGGGGGTGGCAGCGAGGAGCTCCACCGCCGCTGGTCTAAAGCCCGCCCAAGCATGTACGAACTTTCATAAACCATCTGCAAAATCGTCTAAGAGTACAGCATGTATGAACTCCTTGATAAGCCATCTGCAACAACATCGTCTAGAGCACAACAGCGTAACTACTGTAGGCCACGCAGGAGCGAGAATCAAACGCGGTGTAGGCGTTGACTCACTCTGTTGACAGGGTTGGCATCCTTGAGACCCCAATGTATGCGCATAAACTCGACAATGATGTCCTCCTCCTCCAACACCTGTAGCAGCCAGCGCACGGCAGTTTCGTGTCGGGCAGCACCCGACCACGAGAAGTCAGGGAGGCGTCTCGTGTGTGCGATGTATGCACTGACGTTGAAGAAACTAACAAAACCGCCCGTGTTTGCTAGGCACAGAGCTCCCCCTTGGCACCTTACACAAAACAATATTTGTCGGTACCCTCTTCTCGAAAGGATGTAAGAATTCAACATATCGGTCTGGAGGCCCAGCCGCAAGGAAATAGCAAGACACGACGCCTGCGTTCATGGTACCCACAACCAGCACTAGACCAGCTGAAAACAACTTGGTAGCGCCTCCACCCCCCCCTACTTGCCTCAGTTATCTCGTCTGTCCCCACCGCTCCCCCCTCCTCCTCGTCAATCTCGGTGTCGCTTTCCCCGTCATCCTTCTCCCTCCTGGGGGGCAACGCCCCCCCCCCGCCGTTCCTGAGCACCCGGACCATCTCGCTGGCCACCTCCTCCTCCGCCATGCCCAGCTTCGTGAAGTCGCACTCCGTGGCCCCGGCGCAGGGGTACAGGTCCCTGCGCTCCAGCCGCTCGAGGATGCCCTTCGCCGGCCCCAGGCCCGGGTGGGGGTCGTTCGTGACCAGGTCAACCAGGCTGTCCTTGAGCCGGGTGTAGGCCTTGCAGTCGTGGATGGCCTCGCTCATCCTCCACCTCCCGTCCGGGTGCTTCTCGTCCACCGTGCCGGGGACTGTGAAGTACGGGTCCGCCTTCGCGAACGCGTCGACCAGCATCAGCTCGACCGACTTCCCCCCGTGGTGCTGATAGACGAGGGTGTGCAGCTCCATGCGGCTCCGGAACAGGCCCAGCGCCTCGGTCCAGAGCTTGTCCGGGTAGCAGATCATCCTGCGGCGGTTCCCGCGCTGGTCTTCGGCCGGGAGGACCCTCGCGAGCTCGATGAAGCGGTCGAGGTCCATCGGGCGGTCTCCCACGGAGTTCCGCGCGTCTCGCTGGAAGTAGTCGAGCTTGTCGACGTCGAGCCCCGACCTGGTGTTGTTGACGATGTCGTACAGGAACTCCTTGTCCGAAGAGCGCCCCTTTCGCTGCTCCTCGGGGGTCCCGAGGATCATTTCCTCGATGAAGGTCACGTCCTTGGCGTCGAGGGCGGGGCGGTACCTCCCCAGGTCGATCGCCTTCGCGGGACCCCCGTCCCCTCCCCTGAGCATGTACCTCATCATGTTGACGCTCCCGGTCTCGTGCTCCCACTTCACGCCCATCCGCTTCACGAAGGCGTCGTCCCACATGTGAGAGAACGGACCGTGGCCGAGGTCGTGCAGCAGACCCGCTATCTTGACGCACATGACGTCGGCGGCGGTGATCCCGAGCTCGGGCTGCCGCCTGCGGAGGCCCTCGGCAAACCGCTGGGCGAGGTGCGCCACCCCGACGCTGTGCTCGAAGCGCGTGTGCGTGCAGCTGCGGAAGACGTTGTCGCTCGTGCCCAGCTGCTTCAGGCCGTGCAGGCGCTGGAACTGAGGCGTGTCCATCAGCAGTTGGATCACCGGCTCCAGCTCGAGAGTGCCGTACAGCGAGTCCTGCGTGCGGAAGAGCACACACGGTCGGCTTAGAAGAAGTGAGCTGCAGCAGCAGCAGCACCACCACCACCACCAGCACCAGCACACTACACACGTTAGAAATGAGGTACGGCAGCAGCAGCCACCTTGGAGCCGAAGGGTATTCAATTCGTGCCCAACCAACCAGTATGACAAAATGAACACTTGTGATGCCTACAGACACCATCCACGCGAAGAGATTCGGCTTGTGCAGAGCTTACACAACCATAAGGCAAGCGTTGAAATATCCCCGGTTTGCGTCAGTGTGTCATCGAACGAACGCAGTTTGATCTATCCTAACTGCACCGACCGTTCAACAGATAGCGGGAACCATCCTAGCGGTCTGTCCGCAACCAAACGTACACCGTGTGGCCGTGGATGTTTCACTCATCGGTATTATAGTAATAAGAGCCATGGCTGATGTCGAGAGAAGTGAAGCAAGCTAGGGGGCAGGCACACAACACATCCCAACACACCTTGTAAGTCTTAACGTTGACGAGCAGGTTGGGGTGGTTTTCTCGATTAAGACTGTGGCTTCGACCTTCGCCAACCAGAGTCGACTTCCTCGGGGAAGGCCCTTGCGACACAGGCCGACCGCCATTGCTGCCGGCTGTTGCACCTGCTGCGCCTGCGTAGAGTCCGGGCGGCGCAGAGGATGTGCATACCAGGACAGTCAGGGATCGATGCATGACAGCAAGCACGAGGATGGGTATCATACGATCAAAAATATTATCCATCGTTATTCCCTATGAGTCCACACAGATCCCAGGAGAGACGAGCCGAGGACGAAGGCAAGACATTTTTTGTGCATACTAAGCTTGTGGGGTTCGCGCAAAGTGAAAAAAAACACACACAAAGGGGGGGGTTCATCGACGACCCGAAAAACGTCAACAATGCTTTTCTTTCTCCTCAATATCCTGCGTCGAGATTTTTTTGATGGGTAGTAGTACCTCCGCCATCTAGCGGTGAAAGACGTAGCATGAGAGACTTACACAATATACATCATCATACTTTCGCGATACATAGACCCTGCGTATAGATGTCAATACCACACCTGCTACACGGCCACGCTTCCCTCCGTAACCGTTACTCTCGTCCCGATCTCTCTTGTTGTGCAGAGGGGGGAGAGACTTGGGCGAAGGCGGTCCCGGGGTGGACATGCCTCCGTGCGAGCAAACCCTGTCCCGTGTGTGGAGATGACGCCTGCTGCCGCTTTGACTCCTAGGCCGCCCGCCTGTTGCTGGCAGTTTGCGTGGAACGCGTTAGAACAGAGAGCGCACAGCGATAGGGCAGATGAGGCGAAGAGGTCAACATCTTCGGCACATTGTCACCAGACCACCTTTGCGGATTTGTTAAAAGTCCGAAGGAAGGGCCAGCATTATAGGGCTCACAGAACTGACTGTAGTGCCATCGCCCGACAGCGCCGTTGAAACTATATTGGCGACGATGATTGATAAAATCGCATAAATAATGGCATTTGTCAAGTTTCGAGGGGTGCCGCTTTGCTTTTCTGGTCGGGTACAGGACGGTGGTAACACAGACAGCACGCTGCCGCATGCTGGGCTTACTCAGGCGAGAGCAAGAGAGACACAAGCGTCTTCAACCACGCACAAAGACGACGGCGTCAAAGCTCACCGCACGGACTACAAAACTGCAAAGCTACTGCGTCGACGTAAACAGCAATCGATCTATCTACTATGATACCATGACACGTTTCGGACGTACGGCAAGACAAACCTGGCCTACGGAATACTCTCACGCTTGAGAATGTGCGCTGCTGTTTATCACCCTCCAATGTGAGTGTTCTTACTTCTACCGGAAAAAAAACTGCATCGTTACGTGCACTCTCGCCGTGCTGTTGTAGTTCGACACCCCCCCCATCATTGGGGCAGTACGCGTGTTACTCCGTACTACCGTTCGCTATCTACATCTATCTGCTACTCATGTTATCCCCTAGCGCTTTGTTCCTCCGCAGTTCGTGAGCAATGGTGACACCTCTTCACTGTCACTCACCACGTTCACCATTCGACATTAGCCTATATCAACACTCTCTCCAATTCCCTTGTGGACCTGAAGATATTCCGTCTCTACCCACATCCTCGTGGCAACTGCTGTGTGCCATGGTACTTGGCTAGCTGCTTACTCAACCAATCTATCCAGTACATACTCCACCAGATTATGACCGCTGTTCTTGGCCACAGCTAAATATTGCAATCTGCCTATGGTAACATTGTGACGTATAGTAGGATTGTCAAGGAAATACATCTTTGAAGTATAAAGGAGAGTACGCAAAGCAAAGCTCTGTAACAGTCTCGCGGCAGCAACAGTAGAGGTTTGTCTCCGATTCAAGGAATACGTGTTCCAAAAAATGAAAATATGTCCCGACTGGGCTCACGGTCCCAGCTCCATCATGAGGCCCTTAAACGCCGAGAAAAATCAAGGTGATCGACCACATAATCCACTCTACCCAACGATGTAACGTGAATCATCGCCGTCCGCAGAGCTTGCACACCAAGTTCATGCATGAATTTGGTGTGCAAGCTCTGCAAGCGACGATGATCCTGTGTACATGGAGTTGGGAGTGACGAGCTCCACGGAATTCCATGCCCACAACCACCTAATTCCATATTGTATGGTACATGTGAATCACCACTATCGGCGGAGTTTGCACACCAAAGTCATGCGCGACATTTGTGTGAAAGCTCTGCAAGCGGCGATGAATCATGTGTACATGGAGGTGGGAGTTACGGGGACCACTCAATTCCATATATGAGTCAACTATCGCCATCGATTGAGTTTGCTCACCAAATTCATGCATGAATTTGGTATGCAAGCTGCAGGACGGTGATGATTCACGCATACACGGTGTTAGGTGATGCAGAGCGAATCAGAAACGTCGATGGTCTTGGTATTTTCGGCATCAAGAGCCTCGCGATGGACCTGGCACCGTGATCCCATGTTGCCGAACATATTTTCATTATTTGGGACACGTGTTCCATCAATAATTTAGCAGACCCATTGTAAGCATAAGGCTTTTAAAATATGAAAGTATGAGTGCTCTCCTCGTTGCCAGGTCTACAGATGCAAAGTACTTCTTTGACAATGCTGGACACCATGTTAAGCAGACTGTTGTAGATGTGGCGTAGAACAGTGGTACGGATTTTCGGCCACTCTGAAAAAAGCGGCACCATTGTTGGCCAACAGGAAAATGCGGGCATCTTCGTGTGTAACATGTGCTGTCATACAACAGGTGTCGGTTGGGTGTAAGGGGGTGTAATTGGCATGTGTGTCATCCCATTTATTCCTGACGCCTGTTGTACACAACGCGTCGGTGTCATATCGCCGACGCACAGGCCGAGGTCACACCGGGGGACACCACATGTGGCGTTCTGTGTCTAATTTTCATACCGTTGTCCTATCTTTCCTCTTACGGTGCTCACCCTAGTTTTTAATCGCGATAAGGGTACAGCCGTCCCTCGAGCTCGAGGTGGAAAGATGTGCAGCTCACAACTTCACGAGCTACACTCGCGAATTTGCAAATTGCACAGCAGTTTTCCCTACTCCGGAAACAGAGAGACAGAGAGTACAACTCCAAAGCCGAGGTGCTCTGTGACAGTTCGTTATTCTAGCGGAAAGATTGTTCCGCATGGAGAGGACGAGGAGGGTAGCGCCGCACATGGCTCACTCTCCAATTCTTCCAGTCCCGGAGACCTGTATGTAAGATGAGCTTCAGTGTGCAGGGGCTCATGCACCACCATCATTGGAAGCTCCCGTGCGGCCACAAAACACAACATTGGCTTAACCGCCTTATGCGCCAACTTTTGGGCTGCAAACCTCGACAAAACATTTGGAGAGACAGAATTTCGGTGCAAGCGCGATAACATGATAACATGACACTCAGAGAGCAACATCCTCACCAAGCTCCCCAAATTGTTTGCCGTGACCTTGTAACGGTTACAGCTGTACCGCGACACTTCTATCGTTTACCCGCCCTCTCGGGAAAGGAACACAGACTAAAATCTCCCCACGTACACGTAAATTTAATTATGGCTAAACAGGTCGGGCCGGCATAGGCAAGAACTTCATTGCAGGGGGGGGGCACAAGCCGATTATTTAGTGAACTGCCGTGCGCTGTGTGATGATGTATTGATGCATGTCCGCTGGGGAAATCGATCCGCTGACCGCGCGGAGAGATGGACTGCTGTGTACTTCGAAGCATTATATAGGTAGAGTATTCACAAAGCCTACACTGGACAAGGACGATCAGCCTCACAACGTCACTCAAACATGTTACCTCGATGGCGAAGATGCACAGCTTTGTCGGTGGCGTGCCTGGCGTGTGTGTTGGCTGGATGGTGTCGACTACGGGCCTCCTCACGGGAGGGGTTCGGACGCCGGACTGACGGAGGGGTTGAGTGGTTGGGACATCAGGTCCGGTACGGCATTTCGTAGATCAGTGATTCCACGGAGCTCCCGCGCACCCTGGTCTTGAGCCTTGTTGCTTCGCTTCGTGTGTTTCGTGATGTGCGCCAGCGGGATGCAGCGCACAGCAGTCTCTAACAGTGGGGTCGGCCATTGACGTCGATCTTCCCCACGAGCTAATCTATTGGTGCCTCAACTAAGTCTGTGCAAGTGCGGTTTGTTGTTTCCAGAATTATCTGGGGGACTCAGGGACACTCGAACATCATCCCCATCACTCCGTCCATCAAGCCAGGTCAAGGGTAGGGAGACTCCGCATAGTGCGAGCACGGCCGGCGACGATTGCTGACTCCCTGAAGCTGGAGTACCCCGCTCTTGGTCGCTACAGGCCATGGCAGAGTGGGCGTCTCAGTTCGAGGGGGAGCACGGGGCGACAAAGCTGGTACGTGGTAGGGGGCAATTCGGCCGCAGGGTCAATAGCCGTTGCGGAGATGACAACACCCAACGCAATCATCCGAGACGCGTATAGGTGATACCCCTGACACCCCTGAACGTGCCAATACACGAGCAACTGCTACTGCAGCAGGTCGCTCTTGACACCTGCCCGATTTGTAGCGCCCAGATTTTCCGGGATAGAAAACCACTTACTGCATAGAACCCATTATCTTCTGGGCGGAAGCGGGAACAAATTGGCAACCACATGACGGTGCGAAGGTGTACCGATTCTGGTAAAAGTCAATCGACAGATACCCTGCGAATCGGGTCCCCCTTAACACTCTCCACCCACAGAATTTACCCTCAACTGGGAACCTCTTGTGGCCAGGACGGGCAATTCGATGGAAGTGTCACAAGGTTCTTTGTAGGATCGATTCCAAGAGGTGTTCTCAGAACTGACACACGTTGTGTCCATGGGAAAATGTCCAAGTCAGGAGAAAAAACGTGCACCCAAGGAGATTCGAACCAGTATCCTGCCGCTGACGCCATATGCGAAGGTTTACCGATTCTGGTAAAAGTCAATCGACGGATACCCTGCGAATCGGGTCCTCCTTAACAACGGCAGCCGGCCGACGCACAGCGAGAGGAGAGAGGAAAGCAGGCTGCTGCTGCTGTCTCGCGTATCTCAACATATGTGTGCATCGCTCATCCCCATATGGTATTCTGTGGTTGACACCCCCTTTCTTCGAGGGCAACGGTCTGGACGGTATGCATCTCTCGTGGCTTCTCTATCTAGCAACGTTGGCACGGCTTGCTGCATGTCTCTTTCAGATTGATTGGCCTATTTGGCTCAAAATCAATCTTTCGAGGCCCCATTCGGGATTATTGTACGCGCATACGGCGGCTTCTCCCGACTCCTGACATTGGTTGATTGCTTGATTGTACGTATCTGGCCTTCCCATCTCTTTCGAAAATGTCAACAACAACGCATGTTGTATCCCTTCGAGGTCGTACTGAAAAAGGGAGGCGTGTTGAAGCAATTGCAAATTAACAACGGGAGTGTACTGCCTGTTGGAATTCCTCCCCCCCACTGCTGGTGTGTACGATGCCATCTTGCGTCATGTGTTGTATCGGGCGAAAATATGTTGTAGGGCGTTCCGTCCGCAAATTAGCGATGATGCTACTGCCGTTACGGCGTTTGGTGCAGTGTAGTAGTGGTGCTGGATTTCTTTTCTTTTTTTGCGTTGCCACTTTTTGTGCACCATCGCCACTACTCCTATACAGCGACCTCCGCTGGGACGTATGTAGGAAGACACCGAATGCTCCTTCCCGCTGTATGTACCCAACAACATTTCCGCCGCGTTTTCCAGAGAGAAGGCGACGCAATGTAGATGTGGATATTATCGAGGTACATCAGTGTTAGGGCTGTGGTGTAGCTCGAACAACGTTCACACAGCGGTACGGAACGACTCCATCCGACTGAGACGACTGCTGTGTGTTTCTCCGTGAGCTGTCATACAGTAGACGTGTGCTCTCTCTCTCTCTCTCCCTACGAAGTAGGTCAGCGGGCTCTCAACGCAGGAAGATGCGTGGGCAACTGCTGTGTATTTCGTTGTTATGGGGCGGTGTCAACACGATTACACGTCGTTAAGCTTTGTTGTGATGAGGGCGGGCTACGAACACAAGGATTGACGAAAGCTATGCATACATGGGCCGTTCTTGACGTGTGCGGGGCAGCTCTTTCTGCCGGCCTTCGCTTTCTCTGAGGCAACAGCAGTGAGCATTCGACTGCACAGTAGTCTCAGGTCCAGCTGTGGGGTGGGGGAGTGCACTGCAGCTTGGCCAATGAATCCGAGATGTGTTAGCGTCGATTCAAACCTTTGCCGCTCGCTTTCCGCTGTCGGTCAGGTCGGGTTGGCAGTGGATTCTCGCGGCGACGTGGCGTTGGCCGGACACGTTTTCGAAGATGGCAGCGGCTTTGTGGACGGTCGCAGGGACGCGATCGTCTTGAAGCTCGCCTCTGCCGACGGGTCTACTCTGTGGACCAGGTGCCGCTACTTGGTTTCGTTGGAATTCGGACGACCTAGGCAGTCTGTTGCTCAAGGTTGACGACAAGCGTCAACTCAACTTCGGGAGGAAAGAGCAACTGGTCAGATTCAAGGGAGGCACTGAAACCGAGTTCGATGGCGCCTTTGCTACGCAAACAATAATGTCGAAATTCGATGTCCCAGTGCATGTGCCGGGAGCGAAATGTCATGTTTTGTTTCATGTGGCCTCGTTGTTCACCCCCCTCCTTCACCCCCCCCCCCACCAGAACTCTCCCTCCGTACGTATGCCAATTTTCAGAAATATTGGTGTGCCTGGCTCGCACGACTGGAGTTCTGCTGTGGCAACAGACCGCAGCGGAAACATCTTCGTCGGGGGGCAGACAGATGGGAATCTCTTCGCCCCTTGGACGGAGGGAGACGGGCAAGACATCTGGGTGGCGAAGCTAGAAGGAGAAGGGGGGGGGTTGTTGTGGGGATACCAGGTGAGTGTTGGGGACACGGAGGTGGGGGGAGGGGGGGGGACTCGTTTATCGTGTGCCATGGCCTTTGGACCTGCGGCCACGCGATACCCCTTGAGAGGCGGAGCAGTGTCCCGTTACTCCTGATACGGAACACCACCAACAGCAGAGTCAAGTCAGCCGGTCGTAGCACATCTGGCGTGTTTATCGCAGGGAATTTCTTGCTTGACTCGTCCCCTTTCAAGAAGCATGAAACCCACAGCAGTAATTGGAACTGCCATGCAGTCTACAACTCGAAATTTGTATTTTGCTTTGTGCAAATACCTTGAGGTCTTTCACGTGGTCTCTCGTTCGCAGGCCGTATCTGTGCAGTCGGAGACCGAAATCGGGAGATGCAATGTCACATGGTGGCGTTACTCTAGCTGGGCTGCCCACACGGTCGGAAATGCAAAAACATGGCACCACGTTTCCGGACACGTCAAGAGTGACGACGCTGCGCGCCATTCGTTTTTATCCCCTTGGAGCGAGAATCGACGGGAAGCCGTCTGGAGGTTTTTTCTCCAGTGTTATATTTGTTTCAAGAAATGTGCGTAAAGCGCGTGGATTGTGGAGCGTGCGGCAGTGGTTGCGAAAGTTGGAGAGTGATGTGAGGTCTCTCTTTTGCCCACGGGTCGGTGCTTGCGTTCAAAATGGAGGTGATCGCCTACACTGCTGTCCCTGCAAGACGCGCACCCCGCTTCTCGCCGGCCTCAACACTGGTTGGCCACAGCACTACTAACGGTCACCGGCCTTACGCTCGTCTCACGCAAGGCACAAACGTAATTGGCGACGACAAAACTGCTGCAGGTTGGGTCAGCCGGGCAGGACATGGCATCCACGTTGACGGTGCAGAGTGGCGTGCTGGAGGGCGACGTAATTGTTTGCGGCTCGACAACCGGAGGGTTGTTCGAAAACCCGGGGGGTGTTTTTGAGAGCGGTAGCTCTGGGGAAACGGAGGAGAAGGGGAACAAAGGAACGAAGGCGTTTTGCGCAAGGCTTGCGGCGTCAGATGGGCATGTGAGAGACGATTACCTGTTGTTGCTGCCGTTTTGTTGTTGCTGCGGCTCCTATTTGGTTCTGGATGTTGATCGTGCTGCCTTTTTTGGCGCTACGTGGGGCCCCGACTGTTGCTGTTGTATTATAGTTGTCGCGGGTATCCTCGTGTGTGTCACTTATTTAGGAAATTTCCTTGTGATTTCCAGTGCTGCTTCGTTGTTCTACCGTTGTTACTCTTGCCGCCTTCGTCCTCTCGTTTGGGTGATCATCTCGCCCTTTACTTGTGTTTATATTCCTACCATGGTTGCTCCTGTGCATGGCGCAGTCCGCTGCTTCGTGTTGTTTCGAGAGGTGTTTTCACGTTGGTTTCGTTTTGCTAAGACGGTCGTCTCCTGACTGCGTGACTGTCCCTTGCCTCATGGCTGTCTGTCCCTCGCCACTAGAAAAACACGTGGTCGGGGGAAAAAACATGGCACCGTCCTCTTTACGCCTTCCAGTTTGCTCAAGGCTGTTTCATTGCGACCCCTGCCTCAAAGAGTCGCGGCCCTGCTGTGTGTAAAAATACTTTGTTGTTTGTTCGTCGCTTTAAGTCAGAGCCCATAACATTTCTGCGGGGTATGTAGGAGCTATCTCCAAACCGTGGTCAGTCACACAGCAGGGTTCCTCTCCCTCCACCCCAACCCTCCTGCCGTGCTTGCCTTCGATTTTTAGCGCGAGATGAGTGCAGCACTCTCTTCCCTCAACATGTACACAAGACCTAGAACTTTTTTTCACTACCGTAGGAGGCGGAGAGCTGGCACCGCACCTAGACCGACTTTCAGAGCTGGATTGCTCCACAACCAAGATTGTCTGTACCGTACCGTATACCGTACCGCGGTATTCCGTAAGAGTCGGAGAGATGGCACCCCCCCTAGACGGACTTTCAGAGCTCGATTGTTCCACAACCAAGTGGGTGCGGAAAGAGCCCGATGCGTCTACGGAAAGCCCTCGACGAGAAGTTTCCAATAGCACCACCTTTGGTGCCGGCACAAGTTCGGTTGTGGAGCAATCGAGCTTTGAAAATCGGTCCTACGGGGGTGCCATCTCTCCCCCTCTCTCATGTTTGTGAGGGTGAGTTAGGTATTGACTGATGGACGAGCAGCCTTGTTGGCAGCGATCTCCAACTCCGCCCTTCCTCTTGCCTGTCCTTGCCCCAGGTGGTGTGGGGGACGCGCTTTAAGGGGGGCTCGAACAACGAGATCTTGGCGGCCGCCGTGGATCCGTTGACGGGGGACGTGTTCGCCGCGGGGTACATTTCAGGTTAGGGCGATGGGGTGTAAGGTGTGGCAGGGGTCACCACCCCCTGCTCTGTTTGTCGAATCCTGGCAGGCGTTGCGTGATGTACGTAGTGCCTAGGGTGAGGTTTGATGTCAGGCAATCAATTGTGGTTCTCGACATGTGGGCGCGACAGAAGTCAGTCTATTTTGAAGGGATGCAGGTGCGGTGCGTCGCCACAGACGCACATGTACACTTGCGCCCCCCCCCCCGCGAAGAAGAAACATAAGTTTGGGGTTGGAGGCTCAGTTTCATATTTTGTCTCCGCCGTCGAACCTAGCATGTTGTAGGTCATTTTCTAGAGTGTACAATCTATGTAGTGTTGGGTCCACGGCTGATTGTGTCTTCTTATTAGTCGGTTTTTCTTAATGGTTTTCGCGAAAGGCGTAGCCTCCTTTTCCTAAGTTCGTATTTCTTACTTGCGGGCCGGCCGCAACTGCTGTACAGTAGTTGGGGTCCCGGTTTAGCGGTCCATGACGGCATCGTCGCTAAACTGGATTGGCAGTTGTAGTTGTAGTTGTATAGAGCTGCAGCCATGCCACGACATTTGGAACCGCTGTTAAGGGCATCCAGCTAACCAGGTAACCGCTAAACCGGGGCCATGATGGTATTGCAGCAGTGACATCGGTATGTGCTGGTGCTCAGACAGACCAGAGGTCGCCAGGCGCACAAAAGTCTTGCCGAGAGGACGAAATAGTCGGAGCATTCGGAGTACTTTCATGGACTTGTTGCCCTTTGGCTGAACTATTTACACCTCTGTGTTGCTCTTCCTTGGAGTCTCTCCGGCACATCAATTTTGAGGCGGCACTCGCGAGCCCGTTACGTATGGTCGATGCCAGGAGCACTGCGCCGACACGATACACCATGGAGAAGAAGTACCACACGCGCTCCTCCGACTATCGCGAAGACCCCAGGGCGCTTGACGTGATACAGCGTTTTTCTGGACAAGAAGAAGAAAGCTGGACATAACCCCCCACCCCCCACCGTCACGGACCGGTTCGTTCTGCCGTGCCCCCTTCTCCCCCGTCTACGGCCATTTTTTGCTGGCACAGAGGCAGGCGGGAGCGACTACGTTGTGGCGAGACTAAACGGGCATGACGGTTCGGAGACATGGCGGAGTACGGGGGGGGGGGGCTGGATGAACAACGGTTTCACGGACACGAACGTGCGAGACTCGGCGTGCGCGCTGGCGGTGGACTGGAGGGGAGACGTGATCATCGCCGGCAACACGGAAGGGGCGCTTTTCAGCAGTACATGTGTGTGGTGCAAAACGTTTGTGGTTACGAGCAGGAGGTTATGTGCCGTGTTGTTTGTGTTGGGAGGGAAAGACAACACGAGCGAAAGAGCACTGGTGTTGAATAGAATCGACCAGTGTAGGGAACCCTCCTGAACTGGATGGTGCATATGTATATGTGTCATCCGCCGCTTTCCTGTTGTCGCTGCAACGACCGTCGTCCAATGTGTTAATCGTTTTTGCGCTGCCGATGCCGGGTGGGTAAGGACAGCAGCTCCAACACCAGCCGCGGCTAGCTGACACGACCAATAACGCCTCACGGTCCTCGCACAAACAGTGGGGGTGGCATGCCTCTCCACATCGTCAGTATTCCCCTTTCTGTGTCTCGCTTGTGTTGATATCCGCACTCACTAGCAACAGTGTGTCCTCGAGACAAACTGCTGCGGTACGGTATGTATCTATCTTGTCTTTTTTTTTCACCTTCCGGCCTGTTAAAAGAATAATTTGTTGTATTCTTCCCCAACAACACCAACACCAACAACGCTAGATCGGCGGAATTGTGGGGTGCGCGAGGCGGGGGGATGGGACGGTACGAGAGCTGCTTCCCAAATGTCCCTTGCAGTCGGAGTAAGACTCCCTCCTCCGTGACAGTGAAGAGAGTGACAAGCGGGGCACGCTCGGAAGCGGTCGTGCCGGACCTGGTCTTGAGGGAATATGCTGTGAGATCGGGTCAGACGTGCAGGCAGCACGGGCGAAACTTTCATCGTAGGCACACGCATTGTTTTAGGTGTGGCCTACAAAGGAAGGGAGGGACCTTTGGGGAAGGCCAAGAAAACGTAAATCTCCCAGGCCTTCCCCAAGGCCCCTCCCTTTGTAGGCCACACCTAGAACAGTCGAGTGCGCCGAATTTGAAAGTTTTCGTCCGTGTGGCCTGCACGTCCGGTAAGTTTTCACAACATGTCCCCTCAAGACCAGGTCCTACTAAATATGCTACCGCTTCCGAGTGTGCCCCGCTCGTCAATCTCACTCTCGTCGCTGTTACGGAGGAGGGAGTCTTGGTCTGACTGCAAAGGACTTGAAAGGACAGCATCACTCTTCGAGCCGTCCCTTTTTCCCGGCTCGCGTACCCCACAATTCGGCTGGTCTAGATCTTCTTCGAAAGCCATGGATTATTCCTCTTCTTTTTTCATCTGCAACTGCCGTTGCTGCTCCGACTCGTACAGTTTTGCCAGGCCGCGCGTCGTGTCATACGTGTGGGGTGCTGCTGGTTTAGCCTTTTGGAACGGCTTCCGTCCCAGTTTCCCCAACAACAGCAACAACAGCGCCGTTTGGCATGCACCCACAACAGCAGCAGCCACACGCGACACCGACGCTTTTTCCTCGCCTTCACTTCTGTCCTAATAGTTTCCCAACAAGAACAACAATACAGTAACAACAACGCCACTTGGCATGCACCCGTGTTGACTACCCTAGCAGCAGCCGGACGCGACACGGACGCATTCGTTGCCAAGCTGGACGGCGCTAACGGGACCCACGTGTGGGGCTGGCAGGGGGGCTCCGAGGTTGGGAACGACTACGCCAACGCCGTAGCGGTGGACTCCAACGGAGACGTGTACGCCTGCGGGGCGGCCCCGCGGGGTATGTTCGCGGACGAGAAGGGGGGGGGGGGTGCAACGCCGCCCCGCGAGGAGGCGGGAGGCGGGGCGCGGGGGGGGGCTGGGTCCGGGGATGGGTGGAACAAGGACGTGTGGGCACCACCCAACAGCCAAGGGGGTGACGCGGTGGTGTCGGACATGTTCGTGGCGAAGGTGTGGTGTGATGTTGGGGCAGGGAGGGGGGGGGGGTCGCGGGAGAGGATTTTTCTTGTTTTGTCGTTCGTGTGCCGTTTTTTAGTTTCCCGTCGGGGATGATGGGATGCAATGGCGGCACGGTACGGTAATTTAATTTTTTATTTTACGCCCTGACTCTTCCCCGGCCGGGCCCGATCGATGCCCCCAAGCCTAAGGAATGTAACAGTAAGAGCAACATGCACTAAAAATAGAGTTCCAGCCAACACCCTCTGCGCTGTGTGCTCGACGACGTTTTCAGCTTGACGGAGAGTCCGGTGGTTTGGTCTGGGGGGAACAGTTCGGCTCGGGTGCAGACGACCAGGCCGTCGGTCTTGTGCTAGGGCCCGTGTCCTCCGCTGCCGCTGACGCCGTTGGATCGCTGGAGCAGGAGCAAGGCGGGGGCAGCCCCTTGTACTTGACGGGATGGACACGAGGCGCCCTGTTCTCGAAACAGCCGGGTGAGTGTTTAGCTTCGGCTTGGGGCTTGGGGCTTGGGTGATGTAATGTAATGTGTCGACGTTTTTATACCTCATCGTTTTTGCTCGGGTTTTGGCGTTTCCTCGCTGTGCGTCAGAAGCGTTGCCTTGTTGTTTTTTTGTCCTCCTCTTCAAGGTGCAGGGGAAACCGGGTAGCTGTTTGTTGCTGCCGACAGCGGTAGTAGATTGCGACATCCTTCCTTGTGCCTTCAGCACGGACGTCATCATCCCACAACCTGCGCGGCGCATCGCACTCTCCATTTATACCACCGCTACGTTGGTGGTTTGCTCTTGTCTTGTCGGCGCGAACGTTGATTTATTGATGCCATACCCCACCTCCTCAGGAATGTATCTAGGAGATGGTCCCGATATTTCCGTGCTTTCGTGCGCGGTGGGTGTTGCCAAGCGCGCAGGTGGTGTAGTTCGCGCCGGTACAAATGTAGCCAAGCCAAGTTTAGCCAAGTTTCAAGCACGTAAGATTCCATCACGCCTTCCAGCAGTACTTCTCCGTCATGACGTGGTACTGACAAGCCTTTGACCACCCCATGCACACACACACACTCTCTCTCCTTTTGACCCAACTCGGCAGCGCGTTGGCAGGACGGGTGGGCCGTCAAACTCCCCAACCCCCCACCGTCAACGCTCGGGGTTGCCGACGCCGGTGCCTGGGAAGAGCCTTTGCCGGTGCCGATCGGCTCGGGGGCGGCGGAGGCCCAGCAAGCGGCGGCGGAACGGGGAGCGGTGACGGCCGGCCTTGTCGGGACGGTGACGGGGATGCTGGTGGTGGTGTCCATATGCCTCTACTTCGTGCTTCGTAAGGCGAACATGGCGGGCGGAGGTGTGTGTGTGTATGTGTGCGTGCGGTGTCCTCCTCGTCTTGTTTTGTTTTGTTTTGTTGTGTTGTTTTGGGCGGGCACTACGTGCCAGACCTTGTTTATTTTTCGGGGGGGGGTTGAGGGTGAAGGAAGGCTGTTCAGCAAGTAGTCGTGGGCCCTCTATTGGGCAGGCACTAGGTGCCAGACCGGTTCGATTCAGCCGCCCTGAGACAACATCAATTATGCTATCTGTGCCAAGAGACAAGAGATTCCACCCGCCCTGTACACAACCAAATCTCCTTGTACAAGCTTGATCGACACGACAGAGTCGGCCGGCGACAGGTGGAAGCGTCCTCCGGTGCTCGTGCCACGACATGTACGTACGTACGATGACACTCCCCCTCCCCCACGCGCGCTCATGTTGCCCCTTCCTCGCACAATGACTCTTTCTCGCGCAGCGCTGTCGGCACTGAAAGATCCGGACCCGACCAAGGGCATGTTTCGAAGACGCGGCCGCCCCATGCTCCACGACGGCGGAGGGAAAGGGGTGGGAGGTGCCGGAAAAGCTCAGGATGGTGTGGAGCTGACACTGCTTTCCGAGGGAGGGGATGGCGGACGCTCATCCCCGCTCGCTAGCCGCAGTGGTAGCGGGGGCGGGAGCGGGGGCTCGGGGGCTATTGGCGGAAAGAGAGATACCAACCCGCCGCCTAGCGGGCAACAGGCAACCTTTTATCTTTGATGGCTTTTTTTTTCTTCTTGTCTCACGCCGTTGTTCCCCTACATGCACCTTGGTTGACTTGGTGAAAAACGTTTTCGGTATTGGTGGGAGTAACCGTGATTGAGATGGATAGTTTTTCTTTGGTGTACCATCTCTTTTATGCGAGACTTGACGTCACGCAACATGATTGACGAATCCGGGCGAGGGCACCACTCAAAACGAGAGAGCCAGGGAGACCGAATTCCACGGGAATAGAGGAAGGTCTTGGAAGTACAGTAGCTGACCCTGGTATTTTGTGCAGCCTTTCGTCCCGTGTATTAATATGAGTACAATACTGCAACAGGATTACTATAACTAAGGTGTGCGTCGGCACGTGAAAGAGAAAAGGGGTCTTGTCCCACCGCGAGCCGCCTTGCGAAATCGGACGACGTTCGTCGCTAGCCCGTACCATATTTTTTTACGATCAGCGCGCGGGTCTGCCCCCTGCCCCAGCACAAGGTATGTATAGTCTAGTCCCTTCGGGCGCGGTGGTGGTGGTGTGATGGTACGGCGGCGGGTGTTCAAAGTTTTCCCCTTGTTCTCGTCGAACAAATAGCGTGTATTTGTGATTTCTCGGAAGACGAAGGCTGGTCGGCGCATCTGCGGTAGTATCTCCGTAGATCCCACCCGATAAAGTTTTTAAGGTTTCTCCTAGTTTTGAGGCTTGTCCTTGCTAGACGAGAGGGAAGGGAATTACTCCACTCCCTAAATAGTCGAAACTGTTTTCGTATCGACCAGCTGCATTTGTAGCGAGATTTTTCTTCCTGTGTATCTAGCTAGATACGATGCTGCTGCTCCACCAATGGGCGGAGTTACCCTTTTGGCTCTCGTGGCAAAGGGGAGAGTCTATGATGCAGAATGAAGCAAGCCCATTGGACGGGGGTTTTCTCTGTGGCCGAGGTCAGTAGGGTGTTTGCTGGCTCTTGTGTGACCTGCGAGGCGTGTCTCGTTGCCTGCTTGGTATATTGTGAGTCTCGTTAGGCGGTGGGCGGTGCAGAAGAGCGTACGACACTATTTAGTACCACTTGTATATTTTTTTCTGGACGTACGTGAGATTTTCCACGTTGTTTCGGCAGTCAGTGTCGAAACTTCTAGATGAATGAAATACCTAGTCAGTTTAGCAGCAGTTATTTTGTATGTCCGTGTTGTAGTGGGCCTGCTCTTGTCTTGCAACTTTTTACACGGTTTGCCCCTTTCTCTGCTAATAGCGCATTTCCCCCGATGTGTTCCACCCCGAACGCTGACCATTTGCTGAGAGACTGCTTGCGTTTCGTCGTCTTCGCTGATTTTCGTGCTTTTGCGGGTGGCGCGGTATTCAGATGTGCGGCAAAGCCTTACCGCTACATCAGGCATTGTAGTTTGTCCGTTTCTTTTATCCGTCAGCGTGTTACGCCTTTTCCCCAAAACTAAAGGTTTTAGATTTCCCGGCTTGTGCATCCAGAAATTGTACCGAAAGGCGTGAGGACCGACGTCCAGAAGTAATGGCACGAAAAAAAAAGAACGTGAGCTGCCGATATTTATTTTGAACGTCGCGGAGCGTGTGAAACGGTGAACCGTGCCATGGCGTCTCGTTGGAAGATTACCATGTCAATGTATGAAAATACTTGCTTTTCCGCTTCTCCGATAAAGTCAGACGTAAAGGCTTTCCTTGTGAGTTGCGTTTAGGAAGCATGCGACCCCCTTTTTTCTTCGGCCGCTGCCATCGCGGGCTGTAACCGCCGCATTTACACGTGCAAGCAACGTAAAGCTGCCGAGAGGCATCACCGCATCGAAAACAAACAAAAAAGCGCAATGCACGCTTCGAGAAAATTACAAGTAAGTGCAGATGTGCGAGCTGCAACAGCAGCACGCGAAAACACAACAACTGCAACAGCAGCACGTGTAGGCATCGCCAAGTGACACGTCAACCCAACGCCGACACAGCAGCAGCAGCGGGCGCGCGCGTTGTGACAATGACAAGCGACGACACGGTACGGTACGGTGGACGCCATCGTGACCCACCAGACTATTGCACGTCAGCGCCTGGTCGAAAACCAACAAAAGACGGCCAAGGCAAGGTCAACGTCTGGCTCGACGTCACAACCGTCTTCGATTGTTTCTAGTTTCATTGCTCGGCGGTTTGCGTCGACGTTGCTAAGCATCAAAAACATGTACCACTTCATAGCTTCCTCAACCAATACCCGCCCCTCAAGACGGCACGTTAAAAACAAAACCATGGTGCCCTTCACCACATAAAAATCCCACACTGGCTTAAAGAAACACAACGACCGAGGCTGTCTGCCCTGCAACACACCCGCAGGGCCTTAGGAAAAAGCACCGTGAGTGGGTCGAGGAAAGTCCTGCTATATATATACAAGGGGCCATGGCGCACCCGAAAAGTGGAATGTTCCGGGTCCTACTCTTCGTCCCGTCGGTGACCGACCCGCGAAAACCGGCAACTCCAAAGGCAACAAAAATGAGAGATGAGCAGAAACAGACCGAGCTTAGTAAACTGCTTCGGAACTGGGGGAAGGTCACCCGAAAGAAATGGAGTACAAACGCACGCTGCTACATGTAGTGATGACGTTGTACCCGAAACCAACATAACACACAACGGCTGGCATCTGCATGGACGGTAGGGGGGTGGGGGGGGGTTCAACTAATTCAGCATTCCTTGAGCAAACAAATGCCCATTAAACGCGCCTTACCTTGACGTATACTTACATGTCCCCCACCTGCTCACAACATCTACAGCTTTGGGCCGACTGAAGCACAGAGCACAAAAACAAGGCTGGAGTTTTTTTTCTTTTCTCCAGGTACATACTGACTGGAAATCTCTTACTGGTACATCAAACGTTAACAAGCAGCATCAGCAGAGCGCAACCGTTGATCACCTCAAAAGACGTTTTAGAAGCTTCTAGCATCTCAAATAAACACGGCACACTGATTCCCAAAGACCAAAGACCACACTTGCATAAAAAAATATTGAAACATGTAACGTACCATATTCACAAACAAGCCCAGGTTTCAACACTTCCCCTCCTGCTAAGCATATCATGCTTGTCGTCCCTCACCCTGGGACTTGTTGTCACGATGGCGCGACGATTGCTACCATTCCACCGACCCGTGTACCACAAATTATAATACCCGTCGGCGGCCTGCGCCGCTCTAGCCCCCCCCCCCCCCCCCCCGGGCCACGTCACGGGGGCCCTGAAGAAGTTGCGGGGGCCACCCAAAAAACCCCCTCCCACCCCTCTCGTTCTGCTGTACCAACAGTGACCGCCTTTTCTCCGTCCAGAAGAAAGCTTAAAATCAACTGACACTACCAGCAGCACCCGCCGGTTCTCTGCTGTCGCGCGCGCTGGTCGGCTAGGTCAAGCGTCGTCCCGCCCCCCAGAGAAGGGTTGAGCGCTAAATCTCGCTCCCGCTTGCGCTTCTGTTCTAGGGCTAGCACCGCGACGGCCTGCATTGCGACCTCCACGCCTGTGCCGTCCTTCGCGCTGGTTTCGATGTGCCCCATGCCCTGAGGGGATGGAGTCGTGGCAGCATGGCAATAACGAGGCGGAGGTTGGGGGGTCGAATTAGTTCCAAAATTTGGGGTTGAGACACAGGAGTTATTGAACCAACCAACACGCGTACAGGTAAAATGAGAGACGAAGCGACACGAGAGAACAAAAATAAGAAGAGAGCGTACGCCGGCAAAACATGAGCTTCAGCCTTTCCACAGCCTTTGAGTATCGTAATCAATCACCGTGCTCACGAATGAAGCTTCGGTATATTGCTATGCATACTAGCGTAGTTTGTGCCGTCGTACACGACTTCTGAAGTTTGGATCGAACGGGGGCGTGGCAATGGGTCCTCGCGCCTCATTCTACACGCTTCCTCTAACCCCTGACTAACATTGCTCGCCCACCCCCTCACAGCGAAGTAGCCTGCATCCAAAAAAAAAAAAAATGCTCCTCACCCACCGACAAGAAAAAACTAAACGAAACTTCTCGACCCCATCCCCTCCTTCATCAACCTGAGCCGCAATCGCCGCAGCGTAAGCCCTCGGTTGTTCCGACCGACCGGCGGGACCGACAGTCAGCAAAAAGATGCGCCAGCACCATCCGCATGAGAGGCACAGCAAAGACGACTCACAGATTAGGGGAAGAAATAGAGAGTTCTTGGAGGCATTGTTTATACATATGTATAGCTGTCTCTCACACCTGCATCTCGCACCACTTCATCACTCGAGTCTTATCCACTCCGTGAATCCCATCCATTGCCAACCCGGTAGCTAAATCGACCTGGGTTCACCAAAAACCACGCCACAGAGACACGTGGGTCAGTGCGCAACACGCGCTTGCACAGGGTTGCTCTTTTTCGAGGGACGATCGGCAGGCAGCAAACTAGCAGCAGGGTAACTACCAACGCGCGAGTCAACATGAGCTGTCGAAAACAAGGAGGGGTTCTTGTAGGAACATGGGGTCAATCGGGTAGCTTGGATGATCGCACACACATCGCCCAGAACTAAATCGCAGCAATGCTTGACCAAAATCCTAACAGCACTAAGAGGAAGAGGTGAAGGTCAGCGCCATGATCGCTTACGGCCCATCAACTACTGTAAGCGTGTATCCTCGACGGGTGTGCGCCTCCAATGTAGTGGGACCGTTTCATGCCTCCCGCCCCACCGCACGACATGGAACGGCTTGTTTGTAAGCTTGGATACTTGCCATGAATCATCTTCAAGTGAGGGTCGGGTGGTGCGTCGAGTCCTATTTAGAAGGTATGTCACCTCTTGCCAACGACAATTGTCCGATTCAGAACTGTTGTAGGACAACGCCTAGCAAAACATCGACAACGCGACACACAGTTTCCCCACACCTCCACCTCTCCAGCAGAAACACCCCGAAGGCCCCCTCGCGTCAAAGCGAAAAGCGCTTCTTCGAGCACACCAAAACACTGAGCGTCTCCCCTTTTTCGCGAAGGCAACGCGTTTCTTTCTGTGAGGGGAGAAGCCTATGTTTCTTTCTGCGAGTAACAAAAGGGAGGGTGAAACCTACATATCTCGCGGTAACCAATTGAATGGAGCCAGTTTATTGTAGGCTACGGCTCCCACGTCAAGAGCACGTGCGTCCCACCTCCCAGCCGTGGTATCAACACACACACGGTGCTCACACCTTATTGCCGATGACGACGATGGGAAAGTCATGCGGGTCCACGTCTAATCGAACCAGCAGTTCCTCTCGCCACATGGCCACCTTCAAGCAGTACAGCACACGACAGCGGGAGATAAGGTGGGGAGTGTTAGGTCGGGGTGTAGACCCAGCCTACTGCATCTCGAAGACGCGTTGCGGCGTCTGACATAGGGGACACAATCTACCGGTCGGAAAAACAGAGACGGACTTACGTGTCCATCGTACAGCACTCTAAAATTTCAAGATAGGAAAGAGGCGCCGGGGTAGACTTTAAGGCTAAAAAAACAGCCTGATGCATTTTGTCGAGATACCGTAGAGTCAAGGGTACAACAACCTGGGCCATTGACGCGCGGAGGGTCTCTACTATCAGCACCTATATAAAACGAAACGCAACGTTTTGGGCGTGCCACGAAGCTATTCGAAGCCTTCTGGCTTTTGCTGAAACTCAAAACACACGATGATCGACGAACAGCGCTCGAAGCAGAGACTCGTCATACAAAGTGGAGGTCGGGCTCAAGATACTTCCTTACCATGAACTTGGCCACTTGCACCTATTTAGATCGGTACCCGACCAACTTTGACTTGTCACCTCCAGCAACAAAGTCCTAGCTAGTAGGAGAAGAGAGGTCCGGTGCACACTCCAGTGCTCCTTCCCCTTTTCTCGCAAGAATCGGCGGATCAAGTACCCCAAACCTCTCAAACAATGGCGACAAGAAGGGAGCCGGGAATCTTGACCAAAGCGTCATGCCCTTCCATGCAGCACTGCCGAACAAACGCACCTGCTCGAAGGACACCGCGCAAGCCACGTCGTACACCAGCAAGGCCGCGTTGGCGCCTCGGAAGAACCCCGACCCCAAGGAGCCCCCGTGAAACCGTTCCTGCCCCGCCGTGTCCCATATCTGAACAAGCACCGCAATCGACAAAACGACGATCAACAAGATGTAAGATATCGTGACAAGGCCTCTGCGGTACATGACAGGGAAATTGTCGCACCCATGCTCTCTATTGTACGCAACAAAAGTCCAACAACCCTTCCGTGGTGGTCTATCAGGGACGATAGCAGCAAGAGGGAAACGTTGTGGGTATGAGAGCAAGTCCAAGGCAGTTGCGGGTACGGCGTACGTACACGCTGTACATCCTGCGCTTACACAAGCTGACATCCAGAATAACGGGTACTGCGAAGTACACGCACATGCCCGACAGAAAAAAGAGACGCAAATTTAAAGGACTCCCGAAAGGGACGGCTGCCGATCAATCGAGAGCCTCGTCGTCGCTGCTGCTCCAGTGATGACCTTATACCTGTAAAAGCATCGGCTGGTCCCCTTCCACGACTTCCTTGGTCATGAAATCCGCACCGATGGTTGGGCGGCGGTAGTCCGTGAAGTCCCCGGCGGCGTACCGCTTCATCAGGCTCGTTTTCCCGACCTGTTTTTCGCATCGCGTGAGACCGGTCGCCCCGGTGGTCTAGTGGTTTAACTTCGAAACATAACAAGAAAACCCCGCGCGGCCCCGGCTGTAGAGTTAGTGCGTCATACGTGAGACATATATGCCGAAAGGTGTTGTGTGATGTGAAAATCGGCCCGACAACATCCACGTGTATACATGTGGCGGTCTACCGGTCAAGTGGAAGTGTTTGATGAGTACGGACAGAGGAAGGTGCTGGGTAGAGAGATCGGAACGGTTTTTAATGTGGAGACGACGACAACAACGACAACAACGTGCAATTCAGGTGGGACGCCTTTATCTCATGAAAGTATTCTGCAGCGGGTCGAGTAACACAGCGCAGCACAGCAGTAGTAGCTGTGGCCAAATAGAGTGCCCATATCGTGTGCAACTGCGACTGGACCACGTACGTCCATGGTTGACGAGTGTAGGCCCTGTTGAACCCAATGGCAAAAAGTTCACGTCACAAACTTAATTTGCATCCATGTTTGGAAAACATCACGTGCCATGGTGAAATATTTTCTGCAGCGGACTTGATTCCAGCGCATGCTCGTCGAACATGGTACCGGTCGTACTTCGGAGACTACACCTCCCACGCCTCACAACAGCAACACCGCGTAGCAAGGCCCAGGGGAAGAGTTTATGACGCACATTAATGTGAAGACAACAATGGACACGTGCAGTCACGGGCTTGTTTGCGAAGAGTTTTTTGCGAAGACGATTCGATCCGGTGTGGCGCGACGACGGTTTTTAGGGCACAACATGCATTGGCAAGCCCTCAACGCCTCCTACATACTGCAAAGAGAGGCTTGGTTTGCCAATTCGAATCTACTATAATGTAGGCGAGATAAATCCTTGCCAGCAGGTCGTCCTACTAAATAACAGCACCGTAGAAGGCACTTCTTCGCACTTAAGTGTGCTCGAGAGAAGGGACTGCCTAACCCTTCGAAATGGAGGAAGACATTAGTGTGACCCTGCTGTGTCGGAGGTCTCGAGGCGACGAGGTTAGACCGTCAAGGGCGGGCAGACATTACGAGAGACAAACTTTCAAAATGAGATGACGACCAACGTGCGGAAGGAAGTAAAACTGTAAAACTCCGACACACTTCTGAAAACTCCAGTTTCCGGCAGGAATCACCGAACCTTCCCAACCTTCCTTGTGAAGAGACTTCAACACATCCCGGAGCACATGTGCTTTTAGGTCTGCAAAAGAAATGACGACTGTCAGTCATTCTACATGTATGTAGAGAAGAGACATCATACGGTAGATTACCATCGGCGGATAATCATGTATGAGAATTCGAGTACGCGATGACAACAGCAGCTGCTGTAGATGTAGCACATGGCTGTTCCGTTGCATTTCCTTCGAACACTTCGCCTGTACCACACTACATGACCGACGTCGCAAGCGTTCAAGGGCTTTCGTCTTTTGCACGTGTGGGTGATGGATGCCATCGTGCGCTTGACTTAGTCTATCCCGCAGAAGCCGCTCGAGCAATCATATCATCATTTGCCGTGTTTCAAAAATAAGATAATAACACAACGACAGATGTCACTCGCTCTCCGCTGGCGAAAAAACAACTCACGTTGCTGCATCCGAGCACGACGATCTTCAACAACACCCGCGGCTTCATTTGTCTCTGTCTTGACGCCCCACCCCCCGCCCGAGCTCTCGCCGTGGCTCCTTCAAAGTCCACCCCATTGGAATTCGAAGAAGCCGTTCCACCCAGTGCCACCGCCGCCGCCGCGCCGCCGCTGCTGCTGCCCGCATCACCACTACTACTGCTGGTCGATCTCGCTTTCTCGCCTGTCACAAGATCTTTGGCCGCGCCGGAATCGCTGCTTGTGGAAGGAGGAGTCGTGTCGGCTGCTGCTGCTGCTGCGGCATCGTCGATGGGTAGCGGAACCTTTGTTGAATCCGTGCTGGTTGATGAGGAAACGTTGTTGTTCCGGTTGTTATTATTGTTGTCAGCTGGGGAAGTAGGCAAGCCTCCAGGTGTGGGAGATTTGTTGACCTTGTTTTGAGCTCGCTGGTGCCTTCGGGCGGCCGCGGCCAGCGCAGGGTCAAAGATCATCGGTCACCGCACTGGCAGCACGTGAAGACGGCTAGCCTGCTAGCGCGGTGGCTGGTCAGTTGGTCACACAGGTCACACCGATCGTGTGCGGGCCTCAAAGGGGGGGGGGGGGGGTTCCGCCAAATGACACACCGCGTTGCTCCGCTCTTTGACGCCCACACTGCTGCACAGGTTCCACGTCGAATGGTGAGGCTAGATGGATTGCCTGGTATGCTAAAGTAACGAGTACAGCCTTTGATGACGCCTTGACAAGTTTCGGCCCTTCCCTTGATGATTTGGAAGCATGGTGAAAGAACAGGCTGAATTCCAACAAACTCATCCACATGTCCTCTCTCTCGCCTCCCTCCCACCTCTTACAGCCCTGCCATCGTCTTGGCATGGACACCTCGTCCAGCACGTGCCCTCCTGTACGATGCAGCCGTGTTACGTATACTCCATCCTCATCTTCTCCTTGTCCATCCTCCTCGCTTCCAATAACCCCCCCCCCTAAATATGCAGGAGGCAGGCAGCCGAAGGCTCACTCTGTAACATCGCAGCAGCAACCCTAGGCAAGAAGAGGGCGCCTTGAAGCGGCACCCAAGCCAACAAGTACAGCAGCACCTTAGAGAAAGGAAAGGAAGGGAAGTCCGCGAGCGACGTGCGTTGGAGGACCGATTTTCTGGAGAGAGGCCCAAGCTTATTCGACAGAGTTTAAAAATACAACATGGTGAGACAGCAGCAATCGAGAGATCACACTTTCTGGCCTGTTAGGCTTCAATCAAGTGTTACTACAACACCGGCAGTGACCTTGCTTGGTGACCTTGCTTGGGGCAGGCTACAATATTTAGAAGTACATCTGCTATACATCTGAACCGGGCACGGCAAGGCTTGACGTCAAGAAAATGGAGAACAAGCCGCAGTGCGAGGGTGTTGCAAAGCCTACGTGTCATTTGTACCCCCACGAAATACTCACAACCAACCTGCCTTCGCCGCGTTTGATCGACAATCCCGCCGCCACTCTCCAACAGCCGCCGAAGCAGCAGAAGGGCAAGAAGGCTGTCGCCACCAAGAAAAAGCAGGTGAATTCTGAAGCTTGCGTTTTGAAAAGGCCGATTGTGTCCTGAGTGCTTTGTCGCTTGTGACCTCTTTCTTTCCCGCTAGTCCCGCTAGCTTTTGTGACTTGCGTGACGTTTGTGCGATCGGCGGTGTGTTTCGCGTTTTGAGCGATCCGCACGAGGAACATCGAGATGGCGAAAAGAACGACCGATTCTGACCTGTGCTAACACGAGAACAGCGCAGTGCACCACGCGAGTGTGTAGGAATTTTTTCTTATGGGCACCGTTTGCTACATGTACGTTCGAAAACTAAAGCTTGCTTAGCATAGCGGGGATAGCAAGACGACAATGGCGGAGTTTGTTTTCATCTCTGAACCGTTTCTCCTGCACCATCCCCCTCCCCCGTCGTCTTTGCGGGCCCGCCCTCGACTACCTCTCTCGGTCGTTGCCGTTGCCTGTCGTGGAATCCCTACACCTGCTGTGTCTTCGCAGCTGATCGAGGACAAGACCTTCGGCCTCAAGAACAAGAACAAGAGCAAGTCCGTCCAGGTACTGTAAGCTGTGATGATATCTACAAGTCGTCATGTCATGTCGTGTGCGGGCGAAGGCTTCTCCTCGTGGTACGTCCACCCCTGTACACGAAGTGCATCGCAGCTCTCCTTCCGTTCATTAGCTCAGCGGTATGCTCGATAGCCCACCCTCTCCCTTCTGCGCCTGAATGCAGTGGGCAGCGAAAACACTTGTTGCCCCGTGACCACCTAAGGGTAAGGTGTTGCTACGAAAGGGCTTAGATACAAGTTGACACCTTTCCGGTGGGGAGAATGCAATGCTAAAATTGTTGAATGACAGTTCTACGCACGCAATACAAGCATGGAGCACATGTCGGTGCTGCCAGCTCTGTTTTTTTGTCGCTGTGGGCTAGTCCCGTCTGGCTCTTGCACACCTCCCACCGAAGATCCCAGACTTGTGGGGCAACCCCCCTGAGCGCACACCGCGGCAAATAGGTATCCAGTTGGATTCTTCACGAGCTTGTGCAAATTTGCCGTTAGATACATCGCGGTCCTGACGCTTTTTTTGCACCAGAACTGACGGGTTTGCCGTCAGATGCGTTGGCGACCCTGATCATTTTTTGCACCAGAGAGGATGATATGTGTGCGACCCATGCCAAGCAAGCAGCAGCCCAATGTGCATTCTCATTTCAATGTTTGACTATTTATTCGGGACCTTTGCGTGTTGTCGGGACGGTGGGTGTGGGTATCTCTCGTCGGTGTGCTACTTATTCTTCAGAAATACATCAGCACCGTGCAGAAGAGCGTCAACTCGACGGAGCAGCAACGCGCTTCCGATGCCGCCAAGAGCAAGAAGATGGCTTCAAAGGAGGTACGCTATCATTCACTTCACAAGGTGCACCTGGCATATCGGCAGATCGTGGGTTTTTCGTTTTTATTGTCAAATACCCGCGCTTCTTTCTCACGTTTGTGGAAAACGTCGAAGTTGATTCGTTTAGATTGCAACAATGCTGGCTGAGTGATCGTCATTGTTATTGGTAGAAGTACAGTACTGCAGATCCCTTTGGTTGGGTGGTGCAACAGCACTATGAAAATGTGTACGCCGTACATTGTGTTTGCGTTGCCATGCCCGCACGGGTTGGCCAATGACGTGCGAATATTTATGTCCCGTTTCCACGTTGCTGCTTTATCTCCTGGCGGGGGCGATTAGGTAGGATGCGTTTTTGATCGAAGGCACATTTTGTGCAGCAATCTGCGCATGGCCTGTCGGATAAACTTGAAATGACCCGGGTACATGCCGATTTGTGGGGACGGCGAGGGTGAGTTCATTGACAACGACGAGAAACCCCGGATAGCTGCTGCTGCTGTGGTCGTTGTTTCACCCTGTGGGGTCCCGTTTTTTCGCCCAGCTTGAGTCGTGCTTCATCAAGTCCTACTCGTTAGTACTCCGTCCTTTTGCCGGAAAACACTTGCCCGGCAGCATCAAAATCTCATTGCATGTAACACACGGCTAATTTTTCTCGATGTTCCTGGACTGACGTTTCGTGTCTCAGGCGAAGAAAGCGCAGGAGGCGGAGCTCGCGGCCTTGTTCGACGAGGCTCTCCTCACCGGAGTAAAGAAGGTGCGATGCAAGAAGTTGTTGATTAGTCTAAAGGTGTTGGAGCGGAGGTGTGTTGAGGCCTAACCCACTGGACTAAAGTTTTGCATTTACATTCTACAAGCAGCACTGGTGGACGTCACTTTGATTTCCTGTCTACGTTTGTACGCTTTCCCAAGACGTGTTTTGTGTGTTTGCGATGATAAACTCATCCACGCGCGTTTCTGCCATGATAATCAACGAAGCTTTGCTACCGCTTCCATGAGCCACCCGACAAAGCTCGGTACCTCGAAATGGATCGGTACATAGCCGGGCAACTCGTTCACCCCGAATATGCAATGCCATCTCATCGTTTCAATCCCCCTTGATAAAAAGAACTTGATTTTTTACGTACCCTTTTTTTTCTAAACGATGTGTTGGTCTGTTGATGATCGTGTGACGCGGTGGTGTTAACACCAGGGTGGCACTGCCGGGAAGGGGAAGACCCCAGCGGTGGCCGTCGAAACGAAGGCCAAACAGGTTCAGGAGACCTTCGTCATCGAGGAGGGAGAGAAGACCTTGGAGGACATGATCGAGGAGCAGAGAACTAAGCTGCACAGGGAGGGCAAGCAGGTGAGTCAGAACCACGAACACGGGACGAAGGGAGAAAAGCGCCGCCGCTACGGGGTGGGGGCGTTCCTGGCTCGACTCGGCTAGTTATCTTGGCTCGCTCGTGGGCGCGGATAAAACAATAGGCAATTCGCGTCGCATGCACCCGTTGTATCACGGCTGACTTCTGGAGACAGAGTGACAAAACAGTTTGCAACAGGTTCCACGAGGGTACACTGTATCCTGGACGACAGTTTCTTTGCTTGACACCCTTATCTGCTCGACGCTTCTTGCCACGTTGCTTTCTTTGCCTACACGGTACAATCGCCATCTTCCTTCCAGGGGACTCCCGTCAACCAGGAGACCTTGGCAAAATGGAAGGCGGATCGGAAGGCGAAAAAGCTTGCGGAAGAGCGGCGCAAGGTATGTTGTTGGTTACGGTACACTGGCGTGAAGTGGTGTTGGCGTTACATACGTTTGTTGCCGCTGCTGTTTTAGTGCCTTTGCTTGTCATCATATTTGCGATTGGCCTCTGCTCTGGTTGTCGCGAATACTGCTCATATTGGTGTTGCTCCTGTTGGGAGTTCTCCTGTTGGGAGTGTTTCAAGAGTTGCCGAAGCGAAACGCCCCACGACTCACACGGTTGGCTATTGAAACGCTCCGTGCTCGCCCGCTCCATGCGATTACTTTCCTTTAGCTGGAGCTACTTCTGTGTGGGTTTCAGTTGATTGCGATGTATTCTTCGAGGGTGAATTTAGTCTCAAAGCACTTCTGCGTTGCTGAAGGTCACGAACAAGGATATATGATTTACGCACGTGTATCGCAACTGTACTGCCGTTGGCAAGCAAGTGAAATGTTATATATGTAATGGCCACTGTTATCCATGCGTGCATTCGTTCGTTACATGTGCACTGCGAGAACCCGCTTCGCGGTTGGGTTCTGTTTCTCGTGCTTATCAAGTGTTTTGTGTTTATTGAACGGTACGTCTGATTGAAACTACCGTGTGTTTTGGTTTGACTGGCACCGAGAGCCCGCCCGTCTTGTCAACATTGGTGTGTTTTGCGTCGTTGCAGGTCCAGGCGGAGATGAAGAAGAAGAACAAGGGCAAGGGGCTGTCCGTCCTCAGCGGTCGAGCCCTGTACGACTACGACGCCACTCTCTTCGAGGTACTATTATTATAATAGTGTGCTGAAGCCGAAACCGAACAGCAAGAGCCCAGGGAATACACATGTAGCCCGTTCGCCACGTGCACGAATACACATCTTCCCGACATACACAGTATCACCACAGTGCTTCTGCCGGCGGTGATAGTTGGCCCGGGGAGGCGGGTTGGGATGGCCGCTCCGATGGCCGTATGCCGTGGGACACGGAATGCCGTCGACAAGTAGAAGAACATGAGCATTGTCGCTCCCGCAGCGAAGGCAGTGATGACGCAAGCTTCGTCAAGAGGACGACTGTATTATGCGTCGCGCCTGCCCGACTCCGTTCATTGGCATCGCTGTGTCGGCACCCGATTTTGTAAAATGGACGAGAGATAGAAATGTAGGCGGAAAACGGCCGAACAGGCCCCGTGTGGGGTTACACGCAATAACTCATCCAGGTGCATACCATTCGTTGTATGCATACAAATATGCATAATTTTTGTTGTGGGTACTCTATTTTTTTCAGTTTTGGGGACGCAGTATCGGTTGGAGTGCGACGTTAAGCGATGCTTATCGGTAGAAGCATGGCGCAGAAAATAATCTCTTGTTGCGTTTGTGCTGGGTATGGTGTGGTCAGGGTACTTACCACGTGCCGCTTTGCTACGTATTTTGTAGCTCTGCCGCTCTACGTTAGGGCGTCTTGAGGAAGAGCACTCCCAACTTTGTGCGTGCCGGTCGTGCACGTGATTCTTGCGACAGGACGATGCGGACGCTGTGGACAACGATACGATGAAGCAGCGCAATGACGAGGACGACGACGAGGAGGGGCGACCAGATGGCGAAGAGGCACGGGCTTAATGTAGACGACAATATTTTTATGTTCGTTTGTTGCAATCCGAAGGCACACCCACGGTTGGTGCGGCATTGTCCGAGACACGGGTGTTATTCTGTATTTTACGGGTTTTGATTGCGTGTTTGGCAACAGCGTGCATGGGTGATGCAGCGTCATCAGCAGACGTGACGCTTGCAAGGCCATGGTGTGGATTTGCCGACCAGTGTTGCTACTTTGTTTTGAGGCCTTCCTTGCTTGTAGCTGCCCGCGGGCTGGAGGGATATTTTGAGATTCATGTGTTGCCGTTTTCCAGTCCTGCGGCGATCGCCTTGCTTTTCAGGACTTTGTCGTATTGATGCGCGGAAACACAAGAGATATTTCCTCGAGTACTGCGTGCTCCCCCGAGGCCAGAATTCAGCTTGTAGTGTCGTGCGCATGATCGTTGATGGCGGAGCTTTCATGGGTCACCAATTCTGTTTCCCGTGTTTCGAAACTGGCGCAGGAGAAGGAAGGCGCTGCGGGAGCAGCGGCAGCAGGAGGGGTACCAGCGGGGGTAAAGGTGGAGGAGGCGTTGTTCGAAGGAGACGATGAGGACTTGGATGACTTGGATGACGACGAGGGGGCGTGAGGCGGCCGGACATTGTCTGGTCTGGTAGCACGACGTCTCCCCTTACCCCCCCGGGTGCTCGTCAGCAGGCGGAGCTTGTGCGTTATAGAGTGGCTAGTTGTGTGCGTGCAAGCAAGGCCTCTTGTGCGGGGTGAAGCTTTGTTTGTTTGTGTGCATAGCGGGTAGAGACACGGGAACATGCTCACGCATTGGCGGGTTTGGAGGTACTATGTGTCTGTCGCCCCGCCTGTCGCAAGCGGCCGCGACGTGCACGGCATTCGATCTGATTTGGAGGGTGCGTGGAAAGCTTCTGCCTCTGATTGCACCCGACGAGAAGTCCCGGATCTCAGCGTCCAGGCGAATGAATGCCTTTTCTCTGGCAGCGTTGTGCGACAATTATCTCGTCGTTGTATTTGGCACACAGACTGCGTGACGTTGCGTCGTGAGTAATGGTACGTTTGGTGTTTGGCGTTTGGGGCTCTTAGTAGAGATGGAGACCCTTGCGTGGTATTTGCCCACGTTTTTTCTGTGTTGTGCGCTCTCTGATATTTGTTTCTTTTGAGCGTTACGTTGGAGCCCTTGGTAGCGAGGCTTGCGCACAGACGGAATTTTTTTGCCAGAGAGCGCATTCGTTTCGCAGCGTAATCTGCGCTGACGCGAGCTGTGCCTCTTGCGCTAGGGTTAGGATTGTTGTGGCTGCTCTCTGTGAATGTGCGGCATAACAGAGTTTTCAAACACCCATCCATGTCTGTTCGAGATGTAAAAGTTACCTTTCGAGTGTTACGGCGAGACTAGGGACGCATGTGCGAGGGTGTCCAATGTGACAAGGCACCCTTTTTTTGTTGCCTCATCCCTCACTCTTCTTATGTCCCTTTTCTGCTCTGCTGGTGAAGTGCAAGAGCCATGTTGTCCAGGACTACGTGCTGAAGCAGTGGTTTTTCGTGCGGTGCAGCTTCCATTGCGAGAGCGGTATCACATGTTGGTTCAACACGATCTTGGTCATGTCAAGATCGCCCGGGTTCCTGATTTTGGGTGTGGTAAGACTCGCTGGCGCTGACCCCATGCCGAATTAGTGAAGCCGTGTCGAGCTGTTTCAAAGGCCGCGGTCGTTTTCATAAGTGCTGCTTGTGTGGTGTGCTCTTGGTTCGTTCAGCCTAAGTGCATATCCGAAGTTTTCATCAAACGTTTTCGCGGACAGCCACACCTTCATCCCATCAGATTTCGATGAAGCGAAAAAAATGCATAACCTGTGACTTATGGGCTACATCTAAGGTGAAGGTGGTGGTACAGGGTAGTTCGGGTGCTCAGATACGACAGGGGCAGGCCTTTGCCTTGAATCCATATGGCAGTCGCTGAGACGGCAATAAAGCAGCGTCACGACCCTCGCCAAATTCGCAGGGATCGGAGTACAGGAGCTTCAATTCAACCAATTCAAGTGGTATTCACACCCGGGTTTGCGTGCATCTCTCCCCTCTCTCGGCTATTCCTCCACGACCCCCCCACGGCTCACAGCAACCCTCGGACTGGGATTAAGGAATAATAAAAACACACACAGAAAGACTACCCATTCGAAATATACCCACATACGTATCCTAGATACATAGACTAATCCCCCGCATTTTTCTTTTTTTAGTCCATGTTTCCCCGAACCGATACGCCGCCGTGGTGTTTGCACGCTGCTGCTGCAACGTCCACGAAGGAAGTGCAGCTTCGTGTGCGTGGGGACGTCCAAAGGCCTCCCCTCAACAGCGAATCATCCTTTTAGGTCTCCTCGCCTTGTGCTTGCTAACACTGATAAGGCGACGTGAGGGCCATCGATCATTCATCAGAGTCTTCAGTCCTGCAAACGTCACCAGATCACTAACGCAGTCGACGGACGGTATTGCTTAGTCTAGACCGAAACAAGCGCAGCCGTCCGCAACCGCGCGGGGCTGGTACCATGAGATTGCCGCAAATAGCGGGCGTCTTTCTTCTGTCTATAGTCGGAGGTGAAGGGTTCTTCAGCCCATGTGCTGGCCGGCAGGTGTGTTCGGGCCGCCGCTCCGCGCCCATCAACGCACATCATCAGCCTTCGTCTACAACATACCGGCGGTGGGATAGTCGTACCGGGGGCAGCGTGGGACTACTTCGGGGTGGGGGGGGGCGCAGCTGGACGACCAGGCGACAGTCTTCATCTCTCAGGCTAAAGAACGCAGCCGCGAATGACGAGGAGGCTGGGTTGGGCGACAAAGCAAGCCTCATGCCATTCTCTAGGCCGATTACGCTACAGGTGAGTCTGCGGTCCCAGACTGCCAATTTGATTGAGGGAAAAATGTCCGCATGTCATGTACCCAAGATGTACCCAGACCTCGCCGGTACAAGACCGTTTCTGTCACACACTCAACCATGTAATCGCAGTAGAATGAGAGTGTGATACTGGTTGGCAATGGATGAGGCACAGGTGATGTTGATGGGTCCGCTCTTCCATACTGCTGCTGTTCAGGTACGTTGTCAATTGAATCTTAAGATTCACCTTCCCACTGCTTCCAGTTTACAATTTCCTGGCCACCAGCGAAACCTGTGAAACGGTTCCCCTCAAGAGGGTACTTCCCCAGGGAGACAATGTGTGATACCTTGGCGGGAGACAGCGACACTGTGGCTGGTTGCATATTTTGAACCGAGACTTGCAATGGATTGGTGTGCTGCAGCGAAGCAAGGATTGGGAAAGACCTTCGCGCACGGAGCAACGCGCCTGCAAGTAGTCTATTAGCCCTGTTGCCCAACGTCGACCACCGATCTCCGCTCCGCCCTCGCCTCACATGCTGTTTATTTATGCTCATAACCGCGGTCGATTTGGTGGCCGTTGAGTACTTTCGGCTCCAGTCATCCACGAGAGAGTACAGACCAGATATGAACACTGGCCAAGTTCCAGCACCAATCTGCTACTGGCTCGCAATGACCATATTCGTCAAATAGTGGCTTGTTTCTATCACTGCGGCCGCCTGGCCAGTTTCAAACCAACCCATTCTAACTGTTGAGACACTATAATAAGGGCTATCCTACGGAGACGTCGCCGGCAATGACATAGAAGTATTGTCGATCTTTTCGCGCTCCATTGTGCCCCCCCATTCTCCCCTTCCGATATATGCATACAACGGGTTTAATTTTTCATTTTTCCTGTTGTTCTTGCTGAACTCGGGACCTTCAGAAACATGTCTTAACGCGTTGAAGCGACCTTGCCACGTACCCCCTTTTGACGCTTTGGGCAGGGTATCGAGTTGACATGGGATGTCGTCGCGATTCTGGTGGTGTACTTCGTTCAAGGCGCTCTCGGGCTCGCGAGGCAAGATCTATGCTACTGTAGCTGGTTTAGTTTGATCTGTATCGAAGTCATTGTGGCATGGCTTCAGTGTGGAAGTTTTGCCCGCTGTGTCTGCTGTGGTTACTGGTACTTGTTTTTTCACCAAGTATTATAGAAGTACCTGTCTTTTCAGCAGGCGACTGAATGAGAGAGGGCTGCTCCAGTGCCGACTGACTGCTTCCGCCACGTGTTTTGCGAGTGATCTGCCGCTCATTTGTTCTAATAGCGCACGCTTGCATGACGTGCTTGACATGTTGAGACACCGCAATAAAGTGAGCCCACCGCTGTTGGATTGTGCTAGCCTAGCTACGCAAGACCTTCACCCGGCTGTGTGCGGGAATGTACATCCTCACAAACTGTTGGGCACATTTTCGGTTGAAAGCAGAACAACAAGGTGGTGTCGGAGGATGCGATAGCTTACAAGCCAACCTTCTCCCGATACGCAGGCTGGCGACGACGTTTTTCTTCAAGGACGAGTTGCACCTGGCCCCGGCAGAGGTAGCTGCCCTCTCAGGCTTGTTCACCCTCCCTTGGGTATTCAAGCCGCTGTATGGGTTCCTGAGTGATGGGCTGCCAGTCTTCGGGTACCGCAGGTGCTTCTTCGCTACACCTCCTGTCACTCGATTGACACACGCACATCCATCAAGCGCAGCAATCTGAATTTTTACGCGTGTGTAGCTTGTTCCACATATTGCTATGTTCGAAGGTTTTCATGAGAACCATTGGCCGGGCTGTGCCGTGCGGGCCGCACACAATGGTGGACCAGCGTTGTGTTGCGAGGGCCGCATGTATCCGCTTTGCCACAGCAGTATCGCCTCCAGAAACAAGTCTACTTGCAGTGTGGATGACCTGTTCGCAGAAAGCCGTGTCCGGCTAGTTTTCTCTCCCGTACGACTTCGACCTTCCGGTCCCTCCGCCTTCCAAGAGGCATGATACATGAAGCGCGCTGAAGCATCCCCCCAGAACTTGTTTACGATACGCTGATTTCGTTTACTCCCATGTTGAAAGTGCTATTTGCCGAATTTTGTTCTTGTGTTTGGGCTCACAGGAGATCGTACATGGTTCTTGCGGGGCTCCTGGGGGCATCGGGTTGGTTTTGTTTGGCCAACTTTGCCGAAACACCGTTCCAAGCTACGGCAGCCAGTATTGTAGCGAGCTTGGGCGTGGCGGTATCCGACGTCGTAGCCGACAGCATCGTGGTCGAAAAGGTGAGAGACATAGCTGCTGTACATAGATGTGAACATTTCTTCCTACGCCTAGACGTTCACAGCCTTGGCCACGCACGGATTAGCAGCGTGAAACCGTCTTCAGTTATTCTGTCGGAAGAGGTGTGGCCAATCTGCGAATGTTTGTGCGCAAACCCCAATTTGCTCTAAAATCTTGCACGTTTTTTCGTCTCCAATACACACTGCTGACCACGTCCAGCCCCACAACGCAAATACCTCGACTCCAGGCGAGAGATTCAGACTCTCAGGCTGTTGCCGGGGGGCTCCAGTCCTTGTGTTGGGGCAGCGCTGCTGTGGGGGGAATCACCAGCGCGTACTTCTCGGGATCTCTGCTGGAGACGATGACAACGAGAGAAGTCTTCTCTTTGACGACCTACCTGCCGCTGTTGATCACGGTTTGCGCCATCTTCATCGACGAGAAGCGGCTGACCGAGAACATGAGCAGGTGCGGACGTAATTACTGGAGAGGTTTCAAGTCTGGCCATGGCACGGCTAGCCATATGGCCGTTGATTCTGCGAGCTGGGTGTCCATTCACACCCGTGCACGTCTTGGTTTTGAGAGAGAAGACTCGCTCATGCGCACGTCCCGTTTGTCGGCGTGCTCTGAGCACCAAGATTCTTCGTAGGCTGCTTTTGTCTGAATCCCGATCGACCCCGAAACGCTGCGCTTTGCTTCACGTGCTCGATAAGTCCGAAACAGATTGTGTCGGAGCAAGCATCCGCGCTGTGGTCGGCCATCAAGAACAAGTCTGTATGGCTGCCGGCGCTTTTCATCTTCCTCTGGCGTGCAACGCCTTCCTCCGACTCGGCGTACTTCTTCTTCCTCACGAACGACATCGGCGAGTTTACTCGTGTTCCTTGCCAGCTATTCTCAAAGTAGATTGACGGACAGATGGAGGTACTAGATATAGAGATCCGAACGTTTTTTACAATGTGAAGACAACAACAACCACAACAATCACCATGACAGACCCTTTGAATGTCCCCGTAAGACGTGATGATAGCCTTTGTTTGACGGCCTGGAAGATCGCTTCATGCGTGTACACGATAGACTCTATGTTCTCGATCTCGATGCTGCGTCTGATAGTTGCCGCCCAACGCATGCCTTTCTTTGTCGCGACAGGTGTCGGGCCAGAGTTCCTTGGACGGGTTCGATTGGGATCGAGCATCGCAAGCCTGGTTGGGGTGTGGATTTTCCAGTCGTTTCTCAAGGAGACCAAGATAAGCAAGGTGCTCTTCTGGACTGCTGTGGCGGCTGTGCCATTAGGGTTCACTCAGGTGAGGCGGCCGTAGAAAGCTTCATCGACAAGGCATCGCTGCTGTTATTTCGTGAGACCTGCTTCTCACTCTGTCGTGCGCATGAGTTACACTGTGTGTGCACCCTTCCATCTGTCCCATCAAGTTTTGGCCTGCCTTTGCATGGTTTCATTTTCGCGTCAACGCCGTTTGACCAATTCGCTCTCCTTTCGAGGACGCGTGGTCAATCGTCTAACAGCTAAGGCATGCAAAACATGAGTACACCCCCGCTCCCGTCCCCCAACACGAAACGCAGTTGCTGCTCGTGTACCACATCAACCGGGACCTTGGGATCCCGGATGAGCTGTTCACGTTTGGAGATGACGTCGTGCTCACGGTCCTCGGGCAGATCGCGTTCATGCCAACCCTCGTGCTTTCGGCGAGATTGTGCCCCCCAGGAGTGGAGGGGACTTTGTTTGCGTTGCTCATGTCAATCTTTAACGGGGGGGCTATCGTCGGCAGCGAGTTGGGGGCCTACCTGACCCGGGTGATGGGGGTCACCGAAGCTGACTTCCGTAACCTTGGTATGTTAATTGCGATATGTAACGTTAGCAGCTTGCTACCGCTGCCGTTTTTGAAGTGGATTGATTCTGTGGAGGACGATGAGAAGGATACTGACGCCAATACCCCCGGAAAAAGAAAGTAATAGAAGGTCGTGGGAATGATTTTGCTCATGACACGGCTTGCAGTTGATTGGTGTTGTTTGTTGGCAACACCGAGGCTTGTACGGTGTGCTGTGGTGCAACCACGGTCCTTAATTGATGCCGCGGTGCCTCTTGTAGCGTGGGATGTGTGCCTTATTAGTCGAAAACCTTGAAGCAGCGATGGGTTAAAATTAGTGTTATTAGTTCTACAAGTATTAATGTGATAGAATTCATCTGTACCAGAGAAGTGGAAATACAAACGTTAGAAGGAGAGCGAAACAAGTCAGATTAAATCTTCCGGTCAACATTTGGGAGGAAGGAGCCGCGTCATCCTGTATGACTCAAAAGGTTTTGCCTGTGCAGGGAGAACTTGACTTGAGACCCGCACAGGAAAGGACCCCCCAAAAATGCACCTACACGGAAGAGGCGTTGGAGTGCTTCGGATGGGCCATGAATGGTCATATCGCCTTCCACTCTACGGTGATGTGGTTCAACAGCTGTACTGCTGTACTGCAAATCTCAGCGGCATGTTAGAAGGAGGAGTGCAATGCGCTCTCGTTGGCCCGCGCTCCTCCAAGTATTCTTGACTTGGCGCGTGCTCCTTTCTGTGTTGACGTCCGCGGCGGTGTTGGCGCTACATAGCTCTCCTGAAGCATCGATTGGCCAATCACCGGCGGGTAGACTCGGCCACAGCGACTATTTAAGAGCTTTTCAGACGTCATGAGTTCATGCTCGATGACTAGAGAGGCCAGCTTCCTGCAAAGGATTCTCCTCGCCACCTAAAGTACGTCAGGTTTTTGTCGACCCACTATTGCACACGAAACCTTCAGGCCTGAAAAAAAGGCCAGAGCGACGGTGGCACTAGTGGTATGCGTCCCCCAAAACGCCCCATCCCGAACGAACGCCACATTAAAAATTTGTCAATTGGTCCGATCAGACAGCAACCCGACGCACACGAGAAGCAGCTTCTATTAGCACTGACTTTTGTCATGTGCGGTGTGCACCCACCTGAGTCTTGGACTCGGCGTTGTCGGCACAAAGGGATTCATGGTTGACATGCATAATCTGGTCACAACTGACTGATGCGTGCCCATGTACAATGCTTCCCAGAAACTAGCTGCGGGCGCAGACGGCCACAGACCGCCCACGCGGGAGGTTCCTGAAGATCCTGTCAAGTAGATCACTAGCAAGTTAGAATTACGTAGAGGACCAGCACGGTTGCCCGAGGCAAGCTGCGATACAATAGATAGCTTTCTAGTTCGAAATTCAATGTTCGAATAGATTAAGAGGGCTTCGTTTGCCCAGCTGTAAGAACCAAAGAAACGCTTGAATCAGTCCTTCACCCTTTTCTCCTCCTTCTTGCCCCCCTCAATACAAGGGAACACCCAGCAAGACCTCTCGTCTATACACAAGTTGCTCTTTTCATCGAAACACGGGACCTACTTTTATACCGTAATCAATCAAAATTGCTGCGGGGTTCAAACTAATAAATGAAATACACTTTCCCCCGAAAAGACACAGTACGACACAACACCAAATTGGTTGCACACCATCTACATCAAAATCGAGCAGAAACGCCCCCGGGGCAAAAAGGTTAACTTGCTATTTAGACCGTCTCTTATATTATACTTTTGTCCCCCCACGCGCTCCAACCTCGGCAGCGCTGCACAATCGAAAGGATGCCGAGCAGGCGGGTTCCCCCCCTCCACCCAACAACCCCTCCGTCCTCCCCGCCCCGCCACCGGACACAGAAGCTGGCGACAAACACGGGCCAGAAGGTGCTACCCAGACCGCCATGGTCGCACCCGACACCGGGTCTTTACACGCAGGGGGCAGAAAAGTTACCCCAAACACGCTGTTTCGCCCATCGGTGGCCAAATAACCGGGTTTGGGTGGTCCCGGGGTGGGGGGTGGTGGGGGCATTGAAATGTTCTCGTGCACCGTTTTCTCGCCGCGGAACCCGGCTTTCCACCGGTACCTCAAGCCGTCCCCCGCGAAGAACAGCAGCAGGCACGCGAACCCTGCCTGCTTCCAGCTCCGTGCCTCAGCGGTGGAGGGCACAGAAACTCCCTTCCCCTCCCGAGGCGGAGCATCCTGCCCCGTCGTCTCTTGCACAGCATTGCCGGGAGCGTTACCTGCGTCTACCCTGGGGGAGGGCGGGGGTGCGCCCTCCAGAGGGACCCTCGAGGAGGCGGCTCTCGCGACGGTGTCATCCACGCTGTCTTCGTTCGGAGCCTCCAGCTGCAGCTCCAGGCCCAGGGGCTGCCCCCGCAGGACGGACTCGAAGTGCTCGGAGGTAAACCTCGGCAGCCTGGCGTTCCCGTCGCGCTCGTACTCGACGGCGGGGGGGCGAGCGCCGCTCAAGACGCTCTCCGTCCCGTCATTCTCGCCACCACCGCGACACCCCGCAGTAAATCCCGCGCCGCCCGAAATCCCATACGCCTCCTCCGCCGTGCCACCCCTCACCCCGTCGTCTCCAGCTCCCGTGACGGTGCTCGCTCGCTCACGATTGCCCGCGCACTGTCCGCCGAGAGTAGGCAGGGCGGGGACGGCACCCGCCGCCGCCGCCGCCGCTGCCGCCGTAGCAGCATGGGCGTGCCAGCCCCCAGGGCTCGACGGTGCGCTGCGCGAGGTGTCACCGGGAGGGCGCACCACGGGCGCGGTGCCGCCGGCTGCATCAAGGAACGTCCTCAGCGGCGTGTCCCCCGCGAGATCCGCCTGCCTGATGACAGGCGTGACGCCGGCGCGGTGGTCCGCATCCGTCGGGTCGTTGCCGCTCGGCCGCCCTTCCCCGCTTCGGCTAGGGTAGCAGCCTTCGGGCCCACCGACGGCGAGGACACTTCCGTCGCTGCCGCCTCTTTCGTGGCCCGCGCTCCTCGGTCCTCCCGTGCCACCGCTTTCTCGGTGAGCTCGCTCTGCGCGGGCCTCGCGCACAAGGTCATCCAACGTCTGTTCGCCGCCCGCGGCACACACGGGGCCCCCGTTGGCCTCCGGTTCTCTCGCGGCGGGGCCGACCACATCGTCGGCAAGCCCAAGGTTAGGCTCCGTCCCGTCACCGCCCGCACGGGGTGCGTGCGCGTCCCCCGCCGCTAACCCGGGATCGGCATCAGCTGTGGCCGCGGCGGCGGCGGCTTTGGCCGCCGCTCTCCTGGCGATGCCGGCCATGTGCTCCATCTCGAGAGCATGCTCGACGTTTACGGTGAACTCGGCAGCCAGGATGGTGGCCTCGCGAGAGTTGGCGAGTTCCACCAGGCGGACGATGACATCAGCGAGGTCCTGCGAGCCACGAGGAGGTTGTTTTCGAGGTTTACTGCGCGACAAGAGTCGTCGTTCTTGTGATGGCCTAGGGTTTCTAGATGCACTCCGAAGACGGGCTTCACCCCGTGACACGCCATCAACAAAATGTGACGGAAATCTAAAATCCAGCGCTGTTTCGCTAGACCCGAAGAGGAGCGGACGGTCAGACACTCTCCTCCCCCCAAACAAAAAAACTCAACCTCCGTACACAACTCAGAGCTCACGAGTTGCTGCTCACACCTTGACAAAGATCTTGGTGTGGCGGCTCGCCAGCGCGTCCATCCCCCTGGCCGCGATCACGGCCCCCTGCTGGATGAAATTCTTCGCCTCGGGGGTATCGAGAGCCTCGGCGAGCTTCACCAGCCCGGTCGCTGACTCCAGCAAGAACTGCCTCCCCGCAGGAGACGAAACCGCCGTCGACAGCGACCCCGTCGCCCGGCCGCTCGAGCGCAACAGCTCGACCCCGGCCGGGGTCTGCACGAGGCCCGCGGCGTTGAGCCCGAAGTTCCCGACCACGCGGGCGAGGTCCCGCGCTCGCTGCGGGGTGAAGGCCTTGACCGTCGTCAGGACCGAGCCCGCGAGCCCCCACGGGCTGGCCATGCGGATGACGGGGGCGACCGCGACCTCGTTCACGGTGCCCCCCGCCCACTTGAGCGCGTCGATCGTGCCCCACAGGGGCCACAGCGCCCAGTCCAGTAGCCCGCCACCGCCGCCACAGCCATTGCTGCTGTTGCTGGCGACGCCGGCGCCGACACCGTTTGCACGGGGGTGTAAGCCGCCGCCCTCGCCGCCGCCAACGCCAACGCCTGCACGGTTTTGGACAGGAATCGTGGTGGTGGTAGTAGCGGCGTTAGCGGCGTTTGGAACCCGTGCGGGGCCTGCCGTAGGCCCGGTGTAGGGTGGCCTGCTATTCGCGCCGTCGATGCGGCGGGGCTGGCTCCGCGAGTCCGAGGGCTGTTCTACCTGTTCGCCATTGCTGTGCGCTTGGCGTCCGAACCCCAGGTCGTCTACCGCTAGCGCGCTCGATATGGCCGCGTCCATGTCTTCCCGGGCCGGGATAGCCGTGGGCCCATGGGAAAGGACCTCGCTGAATCTCTGGGATGATCGCCTTATTCACACGAACGGGAGGAAGTGCGAGCGGAAAGAAACAATCATCAAGATGATATAACGACTTTGGGATCCTTCGGTTGATTGTTTGGCGGATGCGGCAACGCGTGGACTCAGCCACCCAGGAGGAACCGAGGGAGAATTCTCAACAAAGGCATGAGTTCCTGGACTGACCTTCTGTCGTCTTGCCTAGAACATGCAAACATAGTACACCGACATCCCCAGGGTCCCTCTGAGCTATGTACCGCGGAACACACGCATATACCAACCTCCTGGAAAGAGGCACTACATAGTGCGGGGCACGGCAACATGACATGAGTCAATTATCGCGATAGACTGAGACAGCGACAGCTCTGACTAGATACTATGCTACGTCGAAGTATTAATAAGCACTTGTGCTTATGTGCGCAGTGAGATGTGCTGGGTCTCACACGAGTACAACGGCAAGAGAACAGGAGCACCACGAGCGGCAAGGATACTCTCTGCACCGTCTGCTACCGTCGCGGTCCATCTACCGCAATACAGGTAAACAGGTAAACGTTACGAAGTTGAACATCATCGCTCACCGATCGGTTCAACTGCAAGTTTGTTCTCTCACGCTGCAGTGACTAGTAGTAGGCGATAGTCTACAGCACATCTCGACGCATCATAGAAAAAACAAGCACCACCTCAGTTCTCACCCACTGGACCTCAAGCTCTCGCCCGAGCTCATCTTCCTCCCTCGGAGCTGTCGTGTGTCTCTATCCGAGCTGCAGCACGCCGGCTGGTAGAACTCTGATGGGTTCTTGTAGCAGTAGCTCCCAGACGGGTTGCTACTCCCAAAGTGTACATACACCCTACAGCAACGAAGTACAGACGCAATAGCAGTAGATGGCCGCAAGAGGTACTGGACAGAGCATCTCTGGGAGCAGGTACCGCAGTGCTGAGTCTGGTGGAGTGCTGGGTCACTCGGGTAGGGGGGTGCCGTGGGTTGTTTCTTTGGCTACCGGTATGTATACTGGTCGCTCCGGTGGTCTAGTTGGTAACCTCGTAAACTCGACACCTTCTAGAGGTCAGGTCAGGGGTTCGAATCCCGGCGTAAGCGAGCTGTTCTTGCAAAGTGAGTTTTTCTCTCGCTTCCGCTCCTGGCCTAGTGGATAGCGCTAGTTCGTGTGTACACAGAGGGAAGAGAGTGCTGAACTCTTCTCGCATTAAAAATCGAAGGCAAAGTACCGCAGGAGGGGAGGGTAGAGAGGGGCTCTTCTGTGTGACCACGGGTTGGAGTAAACGGCACTATAATAGTGCTGTGAGCGCTGATTTGAAGTGAAGACAAAAGAAAAAAAAATGTACTACTGCTGTGGCAATGCGGGGCAATCATTCTAGTCTACGGATGCACCATCAACGACGGATCATCATGTGGATTGCCCTGTCAATGGTAGAGAGGGGCTCTTCTGTGTGACCACGGGTTGGAGTAAACGGCACTATAATAGTGCTGTGAGCGCTGATTTGAAGTGAAGACAAAAGAAAAAAAAATGTACTGTGGCAATGCGGGGCAATCATTCTAGTCTACGGATGCACCATCAACGACGGATCATCATGTGGATTGCCCTGTCAATGCTACAGTAGTAGTAGTACGGATGGCATGTCCTAGGAATCCCACGGGCGGTTTTGCGGCGGCATGCAGGGCGCACGAGGGGCGGGTCCGCCTGGCGAAACGGCAGGGCATGCCTGCTTACTGCTGTTTGCTTCTCGCTCTAACGGTCTCGATGGGGATTCAATTGGCGCATTTTGCGGATAGCACAAGTCACGGGCGGGATTCTCACCAGGAATTACAGTAGTCCACGCAAGGTGGATACGGAGGAGGGCGGGAGGCAGGGGGGAGGGGCGGGAGGACACAATTTTTCCGCCATCTTCCCAACACGCAACACTTTCTTGGTTTGGTCGGCACTGGCCAAAAGACACTACACCAGAGATGTTTCAGAGTTTCCATTTGACAGACGCGGGCCGAGCTTACGCAAGGGCAGGCGAAGTACCGCCATCATCACCAACTCACCACTCAATTAACAAACCAACACATAACTCTTCACACGCAGTGTTGCACAGGCAAAACCCTGTCACGCGACGAACAACGTTGCACTCTGTGCAGGACATGACGCCGATGACACCAAACTACTGTAGCGGGAAAGAGAAATGCCGGCCAACAGCTCACCATGCACCCCCCCCCCACCTCACTCAACCCCCTAACTCGCCCTTCACCCTTCTGGGGGCGTTGATGGTGAGACCGAGACCCGCTTATGAACACCACCACAACACCAAACCATACCATCACCACATACCACATATGCGTTCACATGGAAGAAGACTGGTGGGATAACCTCCCCACTCGACACTCTTGCCAGTCCACCCTTCACGTCAAGAAGAGATCGATCGTGCGTCCCGACCCGCTCGGCCCGACTTCAAGTTGCACAAACCATCCCTTGGCAAAATATCGAAGGCGCTGCCAACAACACAAACTGTTGTGTAGCAGGCGGTATGCTCGGAACGACGAACAGTCACACTTGGCTGGGCCTTGGCCCAACAACAGAAACTACATTTACTTCGGGTGCCGAATCACTTCCCGCCCCCCGCGCCCTTCACAATTGTATCAACGCCGGCGCCCTCTCCTCCTCCTTCCGCCTGTCCACCCCCTCTGTCGTTAGCCTCGACGCGCCGCCTGGTTCTCGGCCTGCCGCAGCCGCCGCTACGCTCCGAAGAACACCTCGCGGCCGATCCAACAACATCGCCGCCATCGCGAGGCAACGGCATTCCTCCATGATGCTCGAACCATGGGGAATTCCGTACCGTTCCGTTATCCGGAAAAACGCGAGAAGAGGCGTCCGCTTCCCCTGCGGCGCCTCCCCCGCTCCCCCCACTGCGACTACCGGTCAAGGGCGCGAGAGAGCCACCGACGTCATCTCCGTCGAGGTCGCGGCGACGGCGCTTACGGTCCCTTCCCTGGACGTCCAAGCCCTTGCGTGAGTCCACGCTCGTGCTCTTGACGCCCAGCAGCATGGCCGCCGTCGCTCGCGTGCGGTACATCTTCTCCTCCTCTTCGTCGTCCTCCTCCTCCTCTTCCTCGTCCTCGACGCCCCTACCTCGTCCCCGCAGCCCTTCGACACGCCCGCCTCTACCCCTTCGCGCCGGGTCACCGGCGGCGTGACTGCCTCCTCCGTTTATTCGCCCCCTTCCCGACTCCCAGCGCGGCTTTTCTCGAGAACCCGAGGCGTCCAGTTCCCAGGGCTGCTGGTGCTGGTGCTCGTGGTGGTTGCCCCACGGGTTGTGCGCAAGCGGGGGGCGGCACACCGTGTCTCCGTGGCTGCAAGATAAGAAACGGTAAAACCAGCAGCGAGAGACATGGCGTGGGAGAGTGCGGTAGTAAAACTATCAGAACCGGGTACGAACATACTGGTCGCCCCGGTGGTCTAGTGGGTACCCTCACAGCCTATTAAGGGCCAGGTCATGGGTTGGAGTCCCGTCAAAGTGTTTTTTTTTTCTAAATAAATCCTGGTCTAAGTTGGAAACAACGCGCTGTGAAGCTCGTTGTTATTAAGAGTAAACTCGATCGACTTCATAAGTCGCGAGGGAAGGGATTGCTGTACCCTTCTTGCGATAAATATATCTCAGGCAGGAACCGCAGGAGGGGGTCCAACCCCCCCCTCTTATGTGACCCCGGTTAGGTCGTCTAGCTAGTAGAAGTGGAGGATAGGGGCCAGAGGGGCAGACGACAGAGTCCAATGATAGGAGAAAAAAACAAAAGTTTGTGTGGGTTGGCTGTGTGTTGGTGTTGTTATTTCCTTCAAGTTTCAGTTTTGGGGACGCGATACATCAATTGCCCCACACGCTCTAGAAACTATCAACACCACCGTCCTCGGCGAGAGTACAATGTAGAGGCTAACCTCCCAGCTTCTTACTGGTCGGTCTGTATAAAAAAACTCCCGCATGAACGCAACATTCATCACTGTCCAGACCCGCTCCTATACCTCTGGTCGGAAGACTCGCCGCTCTCGAACATGACGTGTCCATCCGCGACGCTGCCCGACCGCGACGAGCCCGGTGACGAGACGGACGGTGACCGGGGGGGGGAACGCCGCCCGCTGGGCGACGTGAACCGCCTCTGCGGCGCCATCGTGGACGACTGCGCCCCGAGCGGCGAACTGTCTTCCATGGGGGAGAAGCACCGCTGGGGGGAGTGGATCGACGAACAGCCCGACTCTGAACCCCCTTCGTCCCCCGGTTCCCGCCTCCCGCGGAGGCTACGGCGCGGGCTGCTCTGCGGACTGTTCCGCGGGCTGTTCTGCGCGCTGCTCTGCGAGTCGCTGAGGTTGTTCGGAGCGCCGCTGTTGTTCTTGAGGCTGGTCCGCGGACCGTTCTGCTGGGGGTTGCTCCGTTCTTTCGCCCTGGCGTCGCCTTCCTTCCTTTTGCCGTCCTCGCTCCCGGCCGCCGCCGTCTCGCTCGCGTCGTCACCGTCCTGAGATCCGCCTGACGACGCCGGCGAGTTCGGCAGCAGTGCGGGGTTAGAAGAGGCGTTTCTCCGCCTCTCGCCCCCCGAGCCATCGTCACTGGCCGATCTCTCTCTCCCTTCGCCGCCGCCACCGCCGCTGCTGTTGCTCTGGTACCCGCCGTCGAGGTCTCCGGTGGTACTGTTCTCCGAGTCCGAGATGGTTCCCTCGCTGTCGCCGCCCGCGCCGCTCCCGTACCCCCTGTGAGGTGGTGATTGCAACCGGGAGGATTGGTTTGAGGGAAATAGAGGGGCTCCGTGCGTATCACCGCTTGGTATGATTCGCGGCAAAATGTTTCGGGTTCACGGTTGGTTTGACTCGAGTGCATTCTGTAGACAGGGGTCGGGAAAATGGGGGCATGGATAGAACGAGTCACGTTGTGGAGAATGTCGATTCACGATCACGCGGCTGACCACCAAACGGCACATGCATCACGAGCAAGCTGCCATCAAAGAAAATAAGCGAAAATGCGAGACGGTCGAAACCATCAAACGTCAGCGTTATTTTTTCGTGCCAGTGACCGAGCAAAGTCCGTAGCTTTTCGATTGCCACATGACCCCCGTACTACAATGGCACATCACGTTTACTGCCGAGGGTCACACCCCACCAGTGCACACGACTCTGCTACTTTTCGCCACCAAAGGCTACTTGTATACATGTAGACAGACACGAACACGGCCCAACCAACCTTCCTCTGAGCACATCAGACTCGAGGGCGGCGGCAGCAAGTCTCTCGTGGTCCTCGAGGCTGAGAAGCTGCTCTTCTTTCTTGGACATGTCCCTTCGGCAAGCCTGAGTGGTGCAAAAGTTCACCCGAAAAGAACGGCGAGTCAAAGCATGTCCACCAATTAAAGCATCTATGCATACGTCTACAAGACGTGTCATGTCCGCTAAAAGCAGCGTAGACACGCCGCTGATAAAAGCTAAAAGATATCGTGTACACAGCCGGTTTTCAAGCAACGAAACAACATGTACGCGGCGTAAACTGTCCAAGCGATTCCCTTTCGCAAAGCAATTGAACAACAACAAACCAGGAGCTATTTAAATCAATACAAACCTCCGTGATAAAGCCGACGTGACCGGGCAGCGCGAAGTCTCCGCGACTGTAACCCGGCTCGATTTCGTGAACCTGGCGTGCGATGGAGGAGGAAGGGGGCGGGGACAGTAGTCAGCCACCCGCAGACTGCTGTCAAGTAACGTGCGAGACAGGCAAGGCCTCGTTCCACTACACGAGGTCAACAATCACCAACCGAACCTATTGAGACTGTTTGTGCGCACGTAGTACCAGCATATCGCCCCTTGTCCACGCGTCCAGCTCATGAACGGTTTCACCGAATGGGCCAAGAACTGACACAATATACACGAATCGGCCTTGATGCCTTGAACATGCATGTTACTGAAGCTTAACCCTCGACGTGCCGGAAAAACCGCATGGTGCCGCCAACCTTGCTGCGGGGTTCCTTACGAAAACATAGTACACACAGTGGAGGTCCCGATATAGCCGGTGTTTTCAGCGGGCACAGACTGAACTACAAGGTCATTCTGTTCCTGCGTCTGGAATAGTGAAGGTCAAACCTCTGGGCACTTACCGGCACTATATCGGGACCTCCACAACCATATGTAGAACGCTTATTTCTCACCTCTGCCAGGTTGTGTCCCCGGTGGTCCGCCCAGCTCACACGCGTGCCGCTCTCCTCGAAGGTCGGCACCGCGGGCAGCAGAGACGACGCGCCTTGGGGTCCCGGGAACGAGTTCATGTACATGCCCGAGTCGTAGTCACCGGAGGCGTAATAGGTGTCGGCCGCGCCGGCGGGGGGCGGGGACCGGGGGCGGGGCCACCAGTCCCCCGTCCCCTCCCAAGAACCGTCTTCGGAGGCGTTCGAAGGGTGGTGCCGGAAGTCGGATAACCTTCCGGCCTCCTCTCGGTAGAGCGGGCGGAACATCCTGTTCTCGCCGCCGTGCCAACGGGACGACCCCACCCCCTCATCCCCCGACCTACCCCGGCGTGAGCCCCCGTACCCAGCCCGCTGCGGGCTGTTGTGCTTGCCCGCCGCGCGCCGCTGCTCGTCCTCCCTCCCGCTGTTCGACAGGTCGAGAACCCATGGCTCCGTTTTGGAGGCCCGGCGCCACGAGCTGCGCCGCACGTGCCCTCTCCTTCCTCCGGACGGACCCACGACCGCCCGGCCCGCTCCTGGAGCGGATCGATTGCCGCTGCGTCGCGCGGACACAGAGCTGGGCTCAGGTGAGCCTCTCACGGCTCCAGCAGCAGCAGGGTTACTGCTGCTGCCGCCGTTGCCGCCGTTGCCGTGCTGCGCTTCCCCTTGACCTTTCTCTCCTTTCTTCATCTGTTGCCCTGCCCCTTCGCCTGCAAGCTCGCCGCGCGCGCCTTCTCTTGTCGGACTGCCGTCCGCCGAGCCCGAGTGGTTGGACGCGGACCGCTTGCCTTCGTCTGAGGCTCTGGCATCATCTTCTCCGCGCACGCTGCCCGCGTCGCTACCCCCTCCACGGCTACTGGTGTCGTCACCACCGCCTTGTCTCCAGCGCCATCCCTTCAGCTGGACCGATCTCAGGCCCGGTCGATTCCCCAAGTTCATCCCCGAGAAAGGGAGCGGGGGGTCAAAGTGGTTGCTCATGCTGTCATTGCCACCGCCGGCACCGCTGGGGTCTCCGACTAGCTGCCCGCTGCTACTGCCGCCACCGCCGCCGCCGCCTCTCCAACCGGGTGCGTATGCTCGTCCCCGGGTAGGCCCGCCGTACTCCCGGAAGCCGACCGTACCGCCGACCTTGCCGTTGGCGCGCCAAGACACGCCTTCCTTGGAGTTCCAAGGCTCCGGTCGACGGACCGGGTAAGGAATGCTCGCCCCTGACGGGTGCTGAAACTGTGACAGTGGGCCGCCGCGGCCGTAGTCGGCCGGCCCCGCCGCGGCCGCTGACCCGCGGTTGCGAAAGAAGAGTCCTTCCTGGACGCCCCTTGAGACCACGGCGTGCAGGTGGGCGCGGAGTTGGTTGCTCGCCTTCGTCATGGACTCCAGGCCATGACGCTCCGCCAGCCTTCTGAACTTCTTTGCCACACGAGCGATTTCCTGGGACGCATGGCAAGGGACATGTACATACATGTGAGACAGAAAATCCCGCGCCAAAGGAAGAGCACAGAACCGTCATCAACACCGGCATTTTGGTTTGGACAAAAACCGCATAACACCGAGAGAGAAACGCTTGCATAATCATCAAACTAAGCGCGGGAGAACTACAGATTCGAGAATATTTCACGAGAAACGTGAAGTAAGTGATCCACTAGCTGCAAACAAACAGGCGTATACAACTATCGTCAGACAACCACTTTGCGCAGTCGTGACCACGGCGGTAACAGCGTGTTGGCATCTGCATAACGCTAACCGCAGCAAAAAATCGCCGGGCCACACAAAAAAAAGCACGACGAAATGACGCACGCTCCGGACTTCGGAACGGGCGGGGGAACACATCAGACCGCCGTACCGTCTCCCTCAGCATGTCCACCGAGATCGGGACGCGCGCTAGGACGCACAGCAGCTCTTCGACATACACGCGACTACCGACTCCTCTCCACTGTGGGGGGCCAGCTCTTGCCAGCTTGTGCGCCCTTACGCGTTCCCACACGTCCCCGAGCCAGCCGTACAGCGCTCGAAACCCGCCGCAGCGGACGATCACGCTGAATATGGAGTTCGTACTGGTATGGTTTATCAGACACGTGCGGGGCGGAGAATGTGAGGCGACGCTCTGGCACAAGAACAAAATGCGACTTGACCTCCCAACCAGAGTCTGGTTCACAAGAGGGTACTACCAGAATGAAGCCCAACTGCCTCCCTAACAAGCCACGCAAGCATTCCCCACGAGTTTGTCGCGGGAACAGACGCGGTATGAGAACATCCACCAAATAACGTCCAATCCACCTCACTACCAAGCCACTCCGCGCTTGGAAACGCCATGTACTTTGTATACGGTGCCACTCCGCGTTTGGAAACACTGCATACTTTGTGTACGGTTCACGGAACTCGCTTCACAGCAGCCCCCGCCGCCCTTTTCCCCAAGAGTCGCCTCCGCCTGCCTCTTCTCTTCTCACCTGGAGTAGAGCAGCCGCACGGCTTGCACCCTTCCGGCCAACGCGATGTCACGCCTCACGAACCTCTCCGCGAACTCAAACGCACAGTCCGGGTGAACGGCCAACCGCTCCGGCGTCCTCGCCACCGCCACCCCCGCCCCAGCCGCGCCCATCCCCGCCCCGACAGGAGCGTCGCCAGGCGTCGCGACGACACCCCTCTCGTGACCTGCTCCCCTACCACGTCGGTCCCGACTGCCCTTCGCCATGCAGTTGATCTCCGCAACGAGAGCTAGGTCCCGAGGGTCGAGCTCAGACCTTGCCAGGGGCCCCGGGGGTGGGAGCGGGACTACCGTGCGAGGGTTCTGGTTGCGGTTACGCGTCGAGGCGAAGGAGGCGGAGGTGTTCCTGAAGCGGCAGAAGCAGGACGTTTCCCGGCAAGAGCAGGCGGCCTTGCCCGCTGTCATCCTACGTTTGGTGAGAGAGAGAGAGAGAGCGCGAGGGCGGGGAGGGAAGAGACAACGAGGAAGAGAACAAGGGGGTAAAAGAACTTGTGCAATGACAACCAGGAAGTCTTGGTGTTAGGTATCCTACTGCCACGCCGGTATGCGCGCGCAAGTATCCACCACCCGAAGGATTCATGGCCCTGTCTGTGAACGATACAAGACCGTCAGGGGGGGGGGGGAGTAGAAAACTAAGCAATCTAGCACGTATCAGTGCAGCAACGCAGCTGGCGCCCACCTAGCTCGCGCGAGGGACAATCCCAGCAGAACGTCTTCCTCTCCTTCCTCGCTCCATGTGGAGCACAACTCAAGGGACAGGTCTCGGTCCCTCGCTCTGTTCCGGGAGGAGTCCCCGCTGCAAACTGAACTGGCGCCCCCTGTCGAGCTCGCGGTGCTCGCAACCTCGCTGTCCGTGCTAGCTGTCGCGTCGAGGTCATCCTGTGAATTCATTTGTAGGGGGGTCAAGAAAAAAAAAAAGGTCGAAAAAGCGGTGTCACCACGCGCGGTGCGGGACTGGGGTCATCTCGCGCTGCGTTTGGCCCTTTCGACGCTCAGGAAAAATGCCTGGTACTGTGTATACCAATCACGACTGTTTGAGAGAAAATTACATGAAGCTGCCACAAAAAGGTAGGCTTTGCCGTTGAGGTACTTTCAACGAGTTTTTGGGTTGTGTCGGAAGAATTTTGTACTGTATGGTTCTGTTCTTGAACGAACGACATCCAAGGAACCATTGATACTGTTGAACAAAGGCCTTGCTACCGCCCGCGTACCGCTGGGTGTACGGGGATGGGATCCTGTCCCTTGTTACGGTTCGCATGAGCTCCTACACCAATGGTATGCACTATAATATGTGGAGATTCCCCTTCGTAAAGGGTACAACCTTCCCGAAGTATGTCAAGGACGATTCCCTCCTATTCTCCAAAAGAGAAAGATGCCGGGGTGGCGGATATGATTAAGCCCGGGTTCTCTGCCGCCAAAAGCGTACGTCTCTCGGTCGACGCCAACGTGAACGGGGGGAATCGTCCTCGACGTCGTTGTTCTTCGGCGCTCCCAGCACGTAGGGTGAGCTTGTGCTAGTGTTAGCGTGCGTGCGTGCTGTCGCTTTCCTGGTGGTAGTGCGACACAGCAGACCTCCGCCAGGAAAGCGACAGCACGCCCGCACGCCAGCGTCAGCACCAATCCCGCTTACGTACTGGGAGCATCGCAGAAGAACAGCGATATCGAGGACGATCCCCTCCTTTCGCAGCATGCCAAAAACAAGGATGCTTGCTATTCCAGCAAACGCAAGGTTTCAACGTTTGGGGCACCCCTGAGCTGGCTACGTGCAATGCACGTGCTCCTTTTGCTGCTGCTGCTGCTGCTGCTGCTGCTGCTGCTGCTCTCTCTCTCTTTCTCTCTCATTATGCATGAACTCATCCCCCACCTCTCTGCTGTCGACGCTCTCTGCTCGCGACGCGAGGCTCTCGATATCGGCCTCCGCGGCAGAGTCAACGCTTTCCGTGTACCACACCACACACCCGTCCAGGTCCCGAAGCCCTGCCCAGCCAGAACCTCCGCCGACACCGGGAGGAGCTTGAGGTGGTGGAGGAGGCAGTGTCGTTGAGTACGCCCTGCCACGACGTCGATGGTCATAACCTCGCGCGAATGTGCTCCTAAATGTGACGGCAGAATACCCGAACTCAGCCCTTTCCGCACTCTTCTCGGGATGCGTGGGTTGTTCTTCTCCCGCTGCTGGAGGTTCTCCAGCTGCCGCTGTCCCTTCTGCTGCTACTCTCGGTATCGCTGCCACGGGTAACGGAATACCGCCTCTCTCCCTCGCTGTCGGGGTGTTCTTTTCCACCGCCGGACGTGCGGGTGGCGGAGTGTTCTTGGTGCCGCCGCAGCCGGCGTCAACTCCGGCCCGGTCGGTAGCCGCTGCAAACTTTCCGCTGACGCTTTCGTGAGACTCCGCTACAGGCATGTTTTTCCTTGTCAGGGAGCGCGCAGTCTCTCCTGTGTTCACATCATGCACACGACAACGGAGAGAGGGAAGCTGGTCGGTACCATGTGAATCAATATGTCACAGCAACCCGCCTCGTTCAACTTGTACTGGGACCACAACCGGAGTGTACACATCACACACCACTTTCCCCGTCCGTTTTGGTAGAGTAACGTGGCGAGACGGCCACGATAATGATGTCGGCAAGCGCACAAGCACAGGCGTGTCGAATCAACTCGGCGAGGGCTGCAGTACGTGTGTTGCAGTATGTCTAATAACAAAGTGTCTCCTGAGGCGCATCTACAATTTGCCTACTGCCACTGCCACTTTGACACTCGAAACTGACCGAGCACACCGCATGACGTGCGTGTTCTCATCACCTTCACGCCCCTCTAGGCTCCCTGAAGTGAAAAACGAACTGAAGGCAGTATCTCAATCACAGGCGATTACGCGTCTCCCTACCTCTCCTCGCTCGGCGAGAGAGACTCTCTTCGACCAAGCATGCGATGCTATTCGTACGTGAGGGTATCCGCCCGCCGGGGACAATGGGTATGTAACCCCGGGGTTTTCGATCAAAATATTGTGGTTTAGTTCTCGCGTTGACTGGGTATATACGTATTACAACAATGTGATTCACGAAACCCCCGGTCATCGACTAAGGGCCAAACAGCAGCACAGCCTGTGCAGCGCTTGCGGGTTTTGCACTGCTCAACAGAGGAGCAGAGGGCGACAGAGAGAGAGAGAGAGAGGCATGGGGTTCAGCATTGGAACATGCGTGGAAACAACCTTGGGCACAGGAGTGCTCGTTGAAATCCGCCAGGAGGATGATGTGCATGTCGTCCGCCTATGGAGATCGAGAGGTATGCAATAGGTTCGGCAGGAACTATACTAACGTCGTTGCCGCCGTCGTCTAGACCGCATTACACCACGCTGCCCACTTTGCAAGCCCGAAGTAACAATACCGCCAAGCACACATGGTGTTATGTTAGGGAAACCCTGACTTAACATGCCTCCCGAGGGAGCCTGCACTCTCATCTGGTTGCTATGTAGTATACCAGCCCCGACCCGTGTAAATCTTCTCATCTGGACAAGAACAAAAGAGTGCCACGGGCGGTGATACTATTTTAGATACTGGTTGTACCAGACGAGTGCGGAAGGGTCTTTGCCGCTGTATCGTTAGGCACTGCACGAGTGTGCTGCTTCACCAAGTCCCTGCGCAGGAAGGATAGAAGTTGTTCTGGTAGCTTACGAATATGCTCTTTGTGGCACTCGCTCAGGCTACCCACCCGCTCCATCAATGAAGCTCCATTCTCTGTTCTTTGAATGTATGAACACAAGGCACGTTTACGCAGAGGCAGCGGGCCTGTGTCCTGATGCTTGTCATGGTATTCTTCAACCAACGAAACAAACATACTTGCAGCCTGAGCTATTTTTCTTGCCAACGGCTACAGGTGCCGGCTCGGCTAAGGCCTACCTCCACCCCGGCGCAGTCTTGCGAGAGCTCCCGGCCGCCGTGGGAGTTCGAGTCAAGACACCCGAGGGGGATGGTGTGGTCGTTGGGTTCATGAGCAGGGGGCGCGGCGGAGGCGGAGGGGGGGGAGGAGCCGACGTGTTTCTCGTGCAGATGGGTTTCTCTGCGGATGGAGAAATGGCCTTGATTGAGGGAGACAGCATCTCTTGCCCGGTTGCTAAGGTGGGTGTCACTTGTTGATCAATAGTTTGTGGGGTACAGAAAGACGATACCCACGTACCTGACCCATCGGAAACGAGATCTTTTCCCGAGGCAACGTGGGAGCTTTAGTGCACAATTCCAGAGTCATTGTCCTTGTTGAGGTAACGGTACCCAAACATCATACCTTATTTATGACCAGCAAAATGTCAACCCACCTTTTGCGTGTCTACCCAGCACGAGCAGACGGTATCCCGTCCTGATCCATGCCGCAAACAGACAGCACGGTATTTCCTACCCTGTGCTGTGCAGAGAAGAGCTTGTTTGTGAAGCCAAGGTGTAGATGGACATGAGTCTACACGTCGTGGTGCATGTTTGATGCACCAGCCGGGGTCACGCAAGAGGAAGGCAAGCATGTCGATAATTTGTGTATGTAGAATGAGTGCGTTTGGTCATAGGCATACCTTGGATATGTCGGGCCATTGTATTCACATGAAGCACTAAATCTAGTCTCCATCTCAACGGTCATTCCTCTCCCTTGCGAGTCCAACCGCGATTAGAAGAACCCCATGGTTACATAGGGTAACGACCAAACAACGATTGCTCCTTGATGTACGACTTTTAGTACCTGCATCATCTAAGTGATCAAAACGTGGTCTAAAATGTGTGGTGTGGGCGTGTGGGCGATGTGATGGAGGAGTCTCTTCCTTTCGTTGACATGATATTTGACAGGTCATGCCCCTCGTGGAGAGGGTGCTCGACGGAAGCAACGCGCTCGTCACCGCGGAGACGAAGAGCGCCATCGGTACCGGCGCGCGCGACATCCTGGCTAAGATAGAAGGGACGGTCTACGGCGTAGATGCAAAGGTGCGTGGGCGGCTTGATCGTGCAGTATTCTATCTATTTCTGGGTGCCAGTCTCCTAAAATCAGCACAAAGTCTCCCGACACCTTTCGGTAAATGTTTTGACGCACCAGCCGAGGTTACACAGGAGAAAGGCAAGCTCAGGGTTATTTTTTTTCCCTCCTTCCTCCGGCAGTGCTTGTCTTGTGTTTTTTAACGTGAGGGTCTGGTGGCCGGGCTTGACGCATCTCTGCCGCTAAGCGAGGGAGCAACCCTCTATTCGGTGCTCGTTCTCGAGACTGACTGCCCTCGCGACAAACACGTCTGTTGCTTTCATCCCTCAAGGGCTTGATTTCTAGTTCGATGGGACCTCTCAATCGATCAACCCATGTCGTAGCGTGTGACGCATGTCTAGATCTTTGCGCGCAACCCAACCTATCCGAACCGGGTTATAGGCGAATAGGACACACAGCCGCTGTCAACCTCTGGCTTGGTTTCGGACCGCCTCTGTTGTAATGTCCTCCGTCAACGCGGCCGACTTCTACAGGCAACTCTTGGAGCCGCCGCAGATACACTCGACGGCGGAGGGAAAGCCTCAAGAGCAACAGCGCCGGCAACAGCAGTAGCGGGCGAACACCATGAAGAGGGTGTCGAACCAGGAGCTGGGACAGGGGGGCACGCGGAAGACGATGGGGATGGGAGCGGGGGGGGGGGGAGTGCACGGGACGCGGAGGCGCAGTTGGTGCGTTGTTCTTTGGTGTTGGCAACATTCTGTCTGGGTTGGTTCCTCTTGTGTCTCTGGGAGGTCGAACGAAATTGCGGCTCTTCGGTTCTTCGGCTCGGTGTGTTATGGACACCTTCAGCCCTATCCCGCCTCGACTGTGAGCGTCCTCACTCCTTGACTTCAACTTGCTAGACCCGCCCCGTCTTCTCTCACTTCGCCGATGTTTGGATGGCAAGGCGGAGTTGACTCGCGCAGAGACGGCCAGGATGGAATCCCTTGTCGAGAGCGGGCGGCAGCGGTTAGAAGGGCTAATTGATGCGGCGCTGAGTGACGGTAGCGGAAGCGGTACAAGTGGCAACCATGGCGGAGATGCCGAGGGGGGGGTTGGGAGGGCCGGGGCTGAGCTCATGCGTCTCTGGGAAGAGGGGAAGGAGCAGCTGTCGGAGTTGGCCGGGAAAGGTGGAGAGGTGCGCCGACTGGGTTTTTGTACGCGAGGGGGAGTTTTTTTATAGGGGGAGGGGGAGAGGTGCGCCTATGTGGTTGTCATATGCGAGAGGCGTTTTTTCTAAGGTGAAGGGCGTACGGTTGGAGTCGAACTGAGTTGGGCGATGAGACAAAGTGAGCACAAACTCTGTAAGCCATTCCTAGCCCCATGGCGGTTGTTCCTGAACTGCGTCCCGGTACGTGCTCTACCGACAATCACTTTTCCCTACCTCAGCCTGTGAACGCTGCGGTGGCTTGGCCTGTATCCCTAGCTCCATCCGTTCAAGGCGGTGGGACTCGCCAAGCGCTCCCCGTGCTATTTAGCCGCTTATCCCGAAATGAATTACCAGTGTTATACATAAAAGTTGTGACAATAACACCAACCCGGATGCCCACCCTATACGCACGCAGGCGCTGGAGCTGGATAAACACTTCTCCGCCCTGAAAACCCTGTCCAAGGAGAGTCCCGAGCTGGCCAAGATCGTCTCCGATCTCGAGAACGGTCTCGAGACCGGTGCCGCTAAGGCTCGAGAATTGCAGGTGCTGTGAATCAAGGAAACAAGTGTTTCTACGCTAGTTCGTTGCTTAGCTCAATTCCTTTCTCTTTGAATTTTTTGCAATCAATCCAAGGGTGCCAAAGTAGCACCGTGGCTTTTCACCTGCGGCCGGCGTAACTGCTGTGGATTGTTGCAGGTTTGTTTGATTTGTCACGCCGTATGCATATTTCGGCTGGTGTTGGGCGTATCAATTGCTTGGTCCGACTTATTTACCTGAAGCGTTCTGCATGTGCGTTTGTGGGCGACACCTTTCGTGGTCCAATCTATGTTATCTCTTCTTTTTTTTCTGTATGCATACAACAGAGACAAGTGGAGGGCACAAAGACCGTGGGTGTTCTGATGGATGGCAAAACTCGACTCGCGACAGGCCTTGGCGAAGTCGTCGACTCCTATCGGTAAGCCTACAGCAGCGGAAGTCCCTGTGTGTGCCAAGCGTGTTTTCCCGCACTACACAGGATCTCTACCGTAATACTGTACACGTAGCGAGAGGGGTCTACGACGGGACGGGAGTATTGAAAGGGTCTTGCCACCGAGAGCTCTAGCTCGTTGACTTCATTCCGTGAGCGTTATGAACAGGTGGGAAGGACTGATGGTGCAAGAGCAAGCAGGCAAGGATCACAGAGGAGGCAGTGTTGACGTCGAGGAAATCGTGTTTGTCTCACCAACAACGCTTCCTGGCTATTGGTGTCAAGGCTGATTGGCCAATCAATAATTGGTTGCTGTTCCAATCTGTTTTTTCTCGGCGGCAGGGGGGATGAGTCCGTGGCCATGGCGACGGAGCGGGGGGGGCGGCTGCTGAAGGCTTTGGCGGAGAAAGAATCCCCCGTTATGACGAAGGGCATGAAGCTGCTCAAGGGAGCACAAGAGAGGGTAAGCAAGTCGCACTACGAGCTGGATCTCTAGCTCTCGGTACGATGTATTTTATATTTTTGTCTACCCTCCTCCCAATCCGCCATTAGTGTTGGAGATGCTGTTGTTACTTTCACGCTGACTGCGTTCCGTACCATGTAGTCCCACCAGCGAGACCCGGCTCGCTGTCGCCACATGCTGATACATACGAAAAGGGCCCAAAGGAAAAGTGCGACAGATACCCCAAAGCAAACATGAATGTAAAAATCAGATCTACAAGACAATAACTTTGTGTCGTCGCGGAAATGACGAAAGCGGATCAGAAGTTTGAAACTGCAGGCCATACTGTACGGTTCTTGCGTTTTTTCTTCTTGTTTTTCCTTCGCCTATTCATGTTCGATCAATCAGGTAATCGCGCAAGGACAAGGAGACGGCTGGAGGAATATGCTAGCCGGCTTGCAGTCGTCATCGATGGTTTTGGACGGTCAAGGGCGGTTGGCGGAGATGCTGAGAGCGGCGGCTGACACTGGGGCAGGCGGCGGAACCATCCAAGACGTCCTCGGACTCTTGAAGGGGTGCGTGTTGTTGTCGTTGAGTGCATCCTCACGGCTGTTTGACGGGCATGCGTTGCTGAGGGTGGCTGGGTTCTCAGGCGTGTCGTACATGCGTTCCTGCTCTGTAGTCCATCAACCTGTCTTTCGCTCGTTTTTTCCGCTGGGAACGAATGGCATTCAAGGATAATATGGGTTCAATCCACCTATGCATACAACTCTCACTACATGTCATCTCGCTCGCTTGTGCTGCCTCCCCCCGACTCTTAACTCCCTGTTATCTCTCTCGCTTGTTCTTCTTCCTCCTCAGTCTCCCTTCCTCTTATATCTCTCTCATGCGCTGCCAAGTTCACTTCCTATTATCTCTCTCTCTTGTGCTGCTTTCCCCCCCCTCTCACTTCCAGTTACCTCTTTCGCTTATCATGCCTCCCCCCCCACCACTCCCCAATCCGACCGCTGCAAAACCGGGGCACACAGGGACCCCACTTCCCGAGCAACAGATGCCTCCGTTCGGTTGCTGGAAAACTCCATGCTCGCGTTCATGGAGGCGGTGCCACCCCCCTGCCCTCGCCCTGGTACGGCGTCGGAACAAAACGGAGGAGGCGCTGCGGCTACAGAGGGCGACGCCTCCACCTTGGCTGAAGGAGAAGACCGCGACGCCTCATTGGTTGAAAAAAACGCCTCAATATCTTCGGTCGAAGAAGCTGCTTCGTCGCCGGCGGCGGCGCAGAAACAAGAGGACCCACAGGGAGGCGTTGTTGTTGGGGGGGGTGAAGGGGGTCGCTGGTGTGCTCAGGTACGACATTTTTATTTTGTGGGGTGTGTGTGGGGTGGCTCTCCTTGAGGGTTCAGATTTGGTTGTCGTATCCTCCTGTTGGGGTTATGTGCTTGTGTGGTGGTTTGTATTTTCATGTGTGATTTCGTGCATCGGGCGTGTGCAGTTTTTGTGTGGCTCGGCGGTGTCATATTGAGAGGCATGGCGCCACGAAAGTCGTAAACGAAACCCTGCAGAACACAGCCGTGTACCGTATACCAAGCTCGAGCCATTGCGCCCCCCCTGAACCGACTCTCATTGCTCGGTTACTCCATAACCAAGAGGGTGCAAATCCCGAAAAATGGTGGTTTTGGAATGATCTCATCGAGAGCTACCTTTACTTGCGGGTATCGATCGGTGATCGAAAACCCTTGGTTTGGTTGTGGAGTAATCAAGCGTCGAAACTCGGTCTAGGAGGTGTGCTTATGGTACGCAGAATCAATCGACCATCGATGCAACCACATCTGTGTACCCGGCTGCTGTGGGAATTGGATCAAGCAGATGCGGTTCTTCTGACGGCAAGGTGTACACGCACGGTCAAAGGTCAAATACTTCAAAGGCGAGCGACGCATGAGTATCCCCCCAACGCCGTCTCCCGACCCCGCTTGTTCCTTCATAACGTCCAGGACCTCGTTGATCTATTCGAGAGCGGGGAGCTTGCAGAAGAGCTGATGAGGGGCTTGGCTCAGCAGGTGCAGTGGGGAGGAGGAGTTGTGTCGGGGCAAAGCCCTAGAGGGCGGTTGGCGTGCGCGTGCTTTACCGGTGTGACTTCGCCAAGGTATGCGACGAGAGGGTAAGCACAGGCAGCAACCATGGAATGGTACCGAGAAAGTAGGGAGAGGGTTGTGTCTGAGGGACGGATGTTTCTGAGAAACAGAGAGGCATCGAGAGCAGTAAAATAGAGGGAGGCGAGCCGGGGGGAGGGAGACAAGCGGTAAGAGCACGAGGAGAGAGGGGCAGTGAGACGATAGAAGCACGCAACAGGCGCAAGGAGAGCATAAGAAGTACACTGCTGGCTACAACGTGCGTTACCCTACGGTTGTGGGTTGTCCTGCCACCCCTATAGCCACCACCACTAGTCCGACAAGTTAACCTGCCGCGTGGAAGAACGTCCACATCCCCCTCTGTTCACTCTATCCCACCCTATTCCTGCGTCGTAGCCGCAAGTGAAATTTGTTTCTTTTCCTGTTCCCTCGTAAAGCTTACCCCTAACCCCATCCCCGGGATCTCTTGTTTGTGCCTCATGTGTGCGTGTCGTCTTACTGTCGTGCATGTGTTATCTATCACACCGTGCATGTATGTCATCTACCACGCCCTTTTCATCGTTTTCTGGCACCTGTTGTGGTTGAAACGCTCAATTCGTGCCTTTGGTTGATTTTTCGCCCCATCTCCTCTCTGCCAGGCATCTTCCCAGGCACTGACAGTCATGGAGCGTTTGTCGGAGACCCATCTGGCTCAAGGTTCAAGGGGCATGGAGTCATTGAAGGTGATGGATGTCTGTTTCTCTCGTCTGATTTGCGGCGTTTTCTTGGAAGAACCGGATGAGGTCTAGCGTTGTTCGACTTTGCGTCCTGCCTTAGACGTGTGTTTTTGTGCGACCACCTTCTTCATGTTTGCGTTTCTTTGAAGCTTGTTCCACATTCGCATGCGGACGGGTTTCAGCCGTCTTTTCGGCGTTTCAGTTGTGTGTTTTTTTGCTCCCAGATACTCGAATTCCGGCTGCGTTTTGTGGTCAATGACGTTATGTATTGGCTGAATTGTGGTTACTGATTTTGATGTGTTGGCTGAAGCCCGTTCCCATTCCTGCTTCCTCCGACTCTACTAGATAGAGCGTTACGCCGAGGGTACCGACCTTTGCTCAAGGTTTCCACTGTGTCTTTACCCCTGAGAAGCTAGCCCTGGCCTTATCGTAAGCTGTACCTTGTCGCCGACGTAATGTTTGTCGAGTCAGTATTCTGCTCCCCAAGGACATTGGCCTACTCTTAGCCCTACTGTAGCTCTTCACGTCAACCTTAACTCTGACGGTATTCCCGACAACACGGCTGGCCCACGCGTGCCCCCCTAACCACGAAGAAGCTTCTCCGAGGATACCAGCAAGGAGAGACTGGTCTCGACGAGGCCATGACTTGCGCCCTCGACTTCCTCAACTCTGAGGAGGGGCAGTCTCTCGCCGGAGGCCTTGTGTCTCAAGGGGAGCGGGGGCTGGAATCGCTCAAGACCATGTCGAAGGACGGGGCGGTCGGGAAGGTGCTGGGACAGCTAGCGGACCCCGGGTTGGAGAGGAGAATACTGGAAGGGATAGAGGGACTCGACACGGACGAGGTGTGAAGGTCGTTTTCTCTGTTGTTTTTGCGTCTGTCGGCGCCGAACACAAGATAGAAGTATTTTTTATATGCTATACAGCGAGGTCACAGGCAGGGGGTAACTCGGCCTGTTGTTATTAGTAAGAGGCATCATGTCGATCGCGTTGCCTTGGTGAAAGTCCGTTTTTTCGTTTTTTCGCTGTCGTTGCTGACAGCCTACCTTAATCTCGCCGCGATGTCTACCCGGACTGCTGTGTTGCTCGATGCATTTCTTTCAAAAAAAAAATTGTATTCTCCTCGTTGTACATTTGTACAGTGCTCAAATTCTTATGTAAATACCGATGTTGTGTGACGCATGCAGCTGCTGGAGACCGCGGAGAAGGCGATCTCCGACGTAGACGCCCGAACCCGGCTGCTGGACGGGATCAAGGACTCCACCGTTGACTTCTTGCTGGAGTATCTGCCGCACATCGAGGTACGGCTGTATCCACGCGTGTGCATATGTACCCGTTGTTGTTGTCCTTTTTTTCTCGACAGAAGGTCGGCAGACCGCGTCTAAGCTGGCGTTCAGGGGGCTTTGGAAGGTTGTAGACACGTTGATATATAGCCGCCCTTGTTTCCCCCCCCCCGCTGTAGTGGTAGATGAAGAGTTTTTCGCCGTCGTGTTCGTCGTGAGCGTTTCAACGTCTTGCGTCAAAACTGAGCGGCAAGCAGAGAGGGCTGCTGCCGTAGACGAAAAGGACGACAGGAAGTTTTTAGATCGATCCCGCCCGGTTGAATCTACGTAGTACCTACTGTAGCTGTTGCTCTCCGTAGATTGTTCTCGAATCTGCTGTGCGTATTTTGCTCCTTTGCACCTGAAAATGTGCCAACTTCGTTGCGATATCCTCGGCCGTTCTGTGCAGTACACGGCATCGAGTTTTGCATTTCGACACTATTCCACGCCAACGCGTTTGGCTTCTCTGCACGTCTATGTCTGTCTTGCCTTTTCTCTTATCTGACACCCTTGTGTTGTTTCTCGTTCCGACCCCCGTACTGTACCTCCAATCGCGGGGGCGCCGCGAAACGGACACAATCAAAGGTACCCCCCATCTCCGGCACCAGCTCTAGGGTGGGCTATGCCATCACCAACCTCGACCTGTCCGGCTTCCGCCTGCGGAAGGAAGACGTGGACGTGCAGCTCGTAGACCTCTCTGGCGGCCTCGAAGTTGCCGTAAAGGAGGGCGGTAGCAGCAACAATGGTCGCGACGCTATTTCCGATGGCGCTGGTGGTGGTGGTGGTGGTAGAACGGAGGATGACGAAGAGATGGCGGCGGTTCCCTGGGGTGCGGCGGTAAAGGAGGCATCATCACGACCCGGGGATGGGTCGTTCGTGTCCCTTCCGGAGCAGAGGCGGCAGGCCGCGTACGCGGCCGTGCTCGGAGGGGCGGGATCGCCACGCCTCCCCGAGGAGTTGCAGGTTTCTTGGGGTCATCACGGCGAGGGAAAGGGTTTCGACGATGGAGCGGAGGCGTTTGCGGAGGACGGGGGTGTTGTTTCGGCGTCCCCGCCGGTGCCTCCCCCGAGGGAAGACATGGCCCCCGCGGAGGTGCTGAGAGTGGTCGCGAGGGGGGTACGGGCGGAGTTCAAGACTCTGCAGTGGGCGTGTCGTCAGGTGCGTTCGGGGGTGCGCGCTCTCCTGCTGTAGTTGTTGGTTGTTGGGTCATTCTCGGAAGAGTTTGGACGATGGCGCCGTTGGCACAGCTTCACTTCCGCATGAGTGAACGCCAGCAGTAACGTCGACACACGATGACGGCACTGCTGTGCAGATTGGCAGATTGGGCGTGCTTGAGTCTTGACGATGCTTCTTGCCTAACGTGATGTTTTTTTACCAATCATTTCCTTCGGTTGCGACCTCCAGGAGACCTTCCCGTACACTTACGGCAACGGCACCGCTGACGCAACAGTCGTGGACGGTTACGTTTCTCTCGGGTTTTCCATCAAGAGGGGCATCGTGGACCGGGAGAAGGGGATCGAGGGTCCCCTATTGGTGAGACACAAGGCCTCTTGGTGTGTTGTTGTGGACAGGAACATGAGAAGCAGGCTAGCTCGTGTTAGTAGGTGCTGATTGGTTTAATCTCGTCCTCCCTCTGTTGGGTGTGCACACAAGGTTGCTTCGCTTTCGCAACGTATCTCTCTCTCTCTCTCTTGTTTCTTGTCTCGTTTCTTTGCCGGATCCCCTAAGGTGTTATCCACGCGGACGGTTACCTTGGATCGGCTGGGGCTTACCGTTGCCAACTGCCGCATGGCTTGGCTCATCAACCTTCTGACCAGGCTCTTCTCGAGCACCATCAGCACGTACGTCTGCCGGTCGCTGCAGGAGCAGGTCGACGGACATGCCTCGGCCCTCCTAGGCACGGTGAACGGTAAGTCGGCGGACAAAAGTGGTATGGTGTTGTTGGTGCGATGGTGGTGGTGGTGGTGGTGGTGGTGGCGGCGGTGGTTTGAAGTCCTTTGGAACTTGTTTTGTCTAGCAGCCCTCTTGGGTACGGCCAACGGCAAGTCGGCGGACGAAGTGGTGCGGTGTTGTTGTTGTTGCTGTTGTTGTTGTTGTTGTTGTTGTTGTAACTCTCCGCTATGTGTTCCTAACCGTCGTACCCTATTTTATTAATTTACTCTGGCCACGCTCGGGCGAATCCCACCTTCCTGCTAGACCTGATCACGTTCGCCCCACACACCAAATCGACGCCACACACGCCCGTAAAATAGCTCATAGCGGAAGTACTGTACAAGGTAGAGTATGCGACAAGATAAGGAAAATGGTTACTCTTTTGTTTTTTGCTTTGTGGTCCCTCCCTTGTTTTGAAAGCTTACGCGGAGGGCTCCTGGCCGTTCCTGCTAAGTCTAACCAGCCTCAAGCTGGAAGACTTCCCGCTGGCCACTGAGAAGGAGCTGGCCATGGCCAGAGGAGAAGGCCGACCACAGGGAAATCCCGGAGGCGTTATGGCGAGCATCGCGGGGCTCGCGGGAGGGGCGACGGGAGCGGCAGCGGTGGTCGTGAATCACCGTGCACTCGAGGAGGCGTTTGTGGTACAGGGGGAGGGGCGACGCGTGTTGAACCTTAAGGGCTTCGTCCAGGAAGACTTCGGCGTGGTGTTTGACGAGGTGCGGATTGAGTGATGTTGATGTGTCTCTCCCGAATGTTCCGTATTTATTTGCTATATCTCAGTAATAGAAGTATTTTTTTCCGTTACGGTTGTCTCGTCATCTTCGTGGCGTTGCTGGCTTGAGGCGGGTGTACTCATAGTCGTGGACGCGTAGTCGTTAGACCATTGACCTCGCATCCCTACAAAGCCGGGACGGAGCACGCCGGGTTCTCACCGGACCAGGCTCTCACATCACCCAAGCGCCGTGAGGTATTCGGCGAGTCGCATGAAGGGTGAGCTGCATCCTGCTAAGGGTGTTCGGCATCTTGTGCTTACTTCCTTGCGTACGGATGACAGCTGCGTATGACTTAATTTATTTTCTGGTGCTTTCACTTTCAGAGACAGTTGTAAGCACTGTGTAACTGCCTCGAGGATGCTTGACCATTTTAACACAACGTGGTGCGATCATCCCCCGTTGCGCGGAGTGAGGCTTCTCAACCCCGCACTACATGATCTACTCGACCACCATTCATGGTTACCGCAAAAAAAAACAGAGGTAAAAACAAACCGGTAACCTGGTTGCCGAGTTCACGAAGTGAATTGGCTTCTTTTACAACGTCGTTGCCAAGCGACGAAAACCCAATCCCGATGGCAAACACCGAGGGAGGAGCTTGTTTTACAACGTCGTTGCCAAGCGACGAAAACCCAACCCCGATGGCAAACACCGGGGGGGGCGGCATGTTTTACAACGTCGTTGCCAAGCGACGAAAACCCAACCCTGATGGCAAACACCGGGGGGGGGGGGGGGGGGGGGGGG